TGGAGGATACCATAGAGCATTCTCTCCATTCATGACGACAGTTTAGTCGGGAGCGTCAGTCACTGATCTCCAGCACTCAGGCCTTGGGTATTATGCGCCCATCTGTTTGAGTTCTTCTTGGTGGAGGCAACTTCTGAAGAAATGTTCAACATGCCATAATAAAAGCTACAATCGCCTATTTAACACAGACAAATTGCCTGGCTTCCTTGTAATGCATGAGCACTGTCCCGGCTTGGACAGCAAACAAGACTGCAGGATCAATTGATGAAACCTCCAGATGTCATTGAAACAAAATTAAACCTGCTGAGTCCAGGTGTAACAAGAGGTTACTGCACAACTATTTCCTCACCTACAAACTGGAAAGAACAACAACAACCCATACCTGATGTAACCTACTTATCATCATACTGAAAAGTACAGTAACCTGTGTTCCTGAGCTCTTGTCTGTGAACAAGATTGGTTCTTGGAATGTTAGTGCAGGCCAGTGTTGCCAGGTTTTTTCTTGGCGAGAATACCAGATTGCCTGGCTCAAAATACCAGAAATATACCAGAAATTCTATCGTTCAAAAACAGACTAATACCTCCAAATTTAATAAAACTATTCGTCAAAAACGCTGGTTAGAAAAAAAATTATCTCATGTACTGTGCAGTTATCTGGCTTGACGATAATTAGCCAAATTGAACACGTTATATTTTTTCCCCCTCAGTTTGGAACATTTCGACAATTTTCTTTTCCTGTGTTTGATTACATTGACACTTTTTCCTTTTTTTATCAGTGTCATTGTGGCACTTTTTCCTCTTCGCTCAACATGAGCAAGCCACGGAAACAGGTCATCATCATTTTGCTTTTTTTCGTACATGCTTGCATACTGCATTAATCTAACATTTCGGGTGTGATCACTTGTTGCGGTTGAGCAGATAGCTTATGGTCCGAATAAGGGACTCCAGTACCGTGGTTGAAATTTTATTCCGTTGCTTGTTTTTCACATAGGTGACTTTTGAAAACACTTGCACCATGAATGCTTTGGAGACAGGTCAAAGTAGACAAGTGATGCAGTAGGCAGCCAGTTCCCTGAATGGATGATAATTGTCAAGATCAGTGAAATGTTGAATGGCACCCCAGAATTCAAGTGGCACTACAATAAGTGGCACTCTAGAATTCAAAACCACCAAATCAATCTGTTGGAGTGATTGGTCCATTTGGTGAAGACATTACAGATGCTGAGCTGACCTCTGAGCTAAGTTCTGCTGGCTATCCAAAAGCCACTGCAGAAAGGATCTACAAAGGCAAAGAAAAGACTAAAACAGATATGTTCAAAGTAAATTTTGCCACAAATGCTCTGCCACCCTGCGATATATTTGGGATATCAGCGATTCAAAGTCAACGCCTTTGTTAGCAGACCATGGCAATGTTTCAAGTGCCAATGTTTTGGTGCAACTTATTGCAAAAAATGCTGCTTGCTGTGTTGGACGTAGTGGTTCCCACAATGTCAAAGAATGCCCCAGTGCTGGTGGTAGCTTAGCCCCTAAGTGCTGTAATTGTGGGGGTCCCCATACAGCCAATTATGGTGGATGCTCACAAATGAAATTCCAGACCCATGCTGAGCAGACTCGGACAGTCCAGAAAATTTCCTACCGAGATGCTGTGAAAATTGTCAATAGGACTCATCCCCCTAAAAGTGCACAGAGCCAGCCAGAATTATTAAATCACTCTCCTTACCCTAATAAGGATAATGCACATAACAAAACCATGCAAGTGAGAGGCCAAGGGACCTACATGCAGTCAGTTGCCTCACAAGGTCTGGGTGGCAATGAGACCCCTTTTGCCCTATGTGGGGAAATTTCTGTTACTAAATTAATTGAACTGCTCTCGAAAGTTCTGTGCTTGTGTGGCAACACTTTCAATATAGATACTGTTGAGGCAGTGACAACTGACAAAGATTGCCAAAGAAACATTCAATGCTTCAAACCTGCCTACTCCTCTAGAAAGGGTGGAAAAAGATATTGAACCAACCTCTGAATTTCAAACTGCTCCCTCTTGCAGAGCTGAACCTGCTGATAATGATGTTGAAATGGTGGATTCTGAATTGGAGCCCTCACCTGTCATTGGTGGCCAGTACTTGCTAAGAAATTCAAAACATTCCAATAGACCCCAGCAAACCACAACTATTGGCAGTAAGGTTACCAAGCCAACAGCTACACAGCGTGGCATTGGCTCTGGCCTTAGGTATGCAGATCTGACATCATCCTTGGATAGCAGTACAGCCAATGTGCAGCCTTCTATCATAGGAGGCCATTTTGTGCACCAGGAAAATGCTTCAATAAAGTCTGACCCCATTGCATTTCATGATGCCAAGTCACATGTATCTGGAGGCAGGAACCAGGGAGGAATACACAAAGGCTCAGCAGCACAAGAAGACAACCCCAAATGTCTCTCCAAGAAGCAATAAAAATCCAACAATGGAACTGCCATAGCCTAAGGAACAAACTTAGCAACTTTAAACTCCACCTGTACTCTACCAAACCTCATGTCGCCTGTCTGAGCGAAACCTGGCTTAACCAAAACACTGAACCTCCTATTATAAATTACTCAACAGTCTTTAAGCATAGAGATTGTGGATGGGAGGGGGTGGAGGTTTAGCCATACTAATCCGTAGCGACATCTCATTCCTTGAAATTCCTCTCCAACCTTTTCCTGCTGGTGCCCCGGAAGTACAGGGCATTAAGGTTTTCCTGAAAAACAGTTCTCTCTCTGTAATGAACATATATAATCCAAACCAACCAGTCACCTTTAATGAATTGCAGCACTACTTTCAACAGTTGGGACCCTCAGCAATTGTTGTTGGAGACTTTAATGCTCATTACCCCTTGTGGGAACTCTCTAGGGCACCCAACACCACTGGTAGGAACTTGATGGATGTCTTGTTACAAAATCCTATGCTGGCTCTCCTTACTCCTCCAGACCTGCCCACACATTTCAATGCCTACCTTAACTCATTTTCCACCATTGACCTTACCATAATTTCAACCAATTTGCAGCCAGTAGCTTTCATTTCCACTGAACCTGATATGGGCAGTGACCATTATTCTGTCCTCACCGCCATTGGAGTTGAGCCTACCTCCATCCAGCACAGGCGCCGCCCTGCATGGCTGTTTGAAGCGGGATCCTGGGCAGCTTGGTACTCCGCATTGCCTCCAGCTAATAATGAACTTCCCTCAAATCTTGCAGAGAGTGCTAGGAACTTTGTAAAAAATATAATATCTGCCAGCAACAAGGCCTTCCCTCAGAGCAAAGAAGCTGTAACTCCCAAATACAGCAAGGTCTGGTGGTCTCAGGCATGTGCTGATGCTGTTCACTCAAGTAAAGCAGCAAAAGCTTCACTCATATCCCTACCTTCACAGAAGAACTTTATTAATTACAAACGTTGTCAGCTCAAGTCAAGCGGGAAGTCAAGGCAGCAAAGGAGGCCTCATGGAGGAAGTTCTGTAGTAACATAACCTCTTACACCCCAATTGCCAAGTTCTGGGGCCAGATGAGGAAACTGCAAACTCCATTTACATGCAAGTCGCAACCTTTCCTAATGCTCAACTCAATTCTCTTGGATCCTGCTTCCTGCCTTGGCTGACCATTATGAACAGGTCCTCTCCTCTCCAACTCCATCTTCTTATCCTAATCATACTCTACTCCCTCTGGCATTGGCTTTAAGTGTTGACCTTTTTTCTCCCCTAAATGCCCCTTTCACACTATGAACTAGAAACCTGCCTGACTTCACTCAAGAACACATCTCCTGGCCAAGACAATGTACATAACCAACATCTTTCCAACCTTCCTCCTGACTATAAGATGTGGCTGTTGATACTTTTCAATGACAGCTTTGCCTCTGGAACAGTTCCATGGGAGTGGAAGACAGCATTAATAGTACCAATTCCCAAACCCAACAAGGCCCTTACCTCCACCAACTCATACCCAATTTCCTTGCTGTCCTGTGTTGCCAAACTAATGGAACAACTGGTAAATAAACGTCTGCACTTTTTTTCAGACCTCGCTTAGCTTCAATTGACCAGGTGACCCGATTAGACACAGCCATCCGAGATAGCCTAAGGACCAAATCCGTGCTTGCTGTTGTCTTTTGTAATTTTGGCAATGCATTTTACACTGATGCTGGGTCTAAAATGTCTTGTACTGCAGGTGAGATAAACCTGTTATCTGCTTATTTTAACTAAATGGCAACAACCCTATTCTGAATGAAGGAAAATGAAAGACTGGTTCTAATGAATAATGAATTAAAATATGGGGCAGTAAATAAACACATAACTTAATGGAATAGCAAAGAAAAAGGGTTGTTTCAATTTGTACAGTGTAGTGAAAGTGAGCTACTTAGTTGCATATAAGGAGCATGGACAGGTGGAGATGAGTAGATTTAACTGCAAACAGAAAGAACAGAATAAAAATGCAAATCATGAATGACTGATAATCTTATGGGATGTAGAATGTAAACAAAGCAAGAACTATTAAACTCCATAAAACTAGTAAAAGCTCATCTCCATATTGTGAATTTATTTTTAAACTAATGAGTTAAAACTAATGCATTTTTAATATGCATGCATTACAAGTTTACAACTGCTGACTAGGTAGTAGGTACGTCTGAAAGCTTCATGCATAATTTTGAACACTGATATCATTTATGAAACACACATATTGCAACATACTAAATGCATCTGAAAGTTACGGTACGGTACATGTGAGATTAGGAATGGTGATTATATCCATGATATGCACATACTATGCCTAATTACATAAAAAATATACATTGGCCACTTGCTCAATAATGTTGCAGTGTAGTGGAGTTTTATGAGTATTCTTCTCTGACAACTTTATGCATCTAAACTAATTTTTGAAAGTTATTTGAAGTGATGAACTATTTTAATCATACATATTGAGACTAAATTTTAAGGCCAAACATTCAGCCAGCTTGTCAACTAACTATTATTTCTTAACTAGATTGCAGAGTATTTTATGTTTCCAGAGCATTGAAAATGATTCACTTCAGCACAGTAATACGTATCTCTGATGGAATACCACTGTCAGTCACCAGAGATTCTTCTATTGACAGTTCATTTGCTGCAGCTAAGAAGAACATAAAATTGTTGGTTACTAAAATTATGCTTCATCCCAAAAGAGTGTGTTTACTAGAAGACATGTATACAATTCAGTGAGTTAACATTTATTTTAGGGTAGTTTATGGATTGCATTTTGAAATATTTATACTGCTGTTGATATTTCGATACAGATACTCTTTGAATTTGATTTTTTTATTTTAGATTAGTTTCACATTGGTGTATATAATATTTTATTTTTTGTTCATGTTTGTGGAAGAATTTATTATATTAATTTAATTTTTTTTTGCAGTTGTGTGCACTCATCTGTTGTGGCATTCATTGCTGTATGTGATCCTACCTTCTCACATTTGCTGATCCACAGCTTCCTGGATGAACTCGACAAAGAATTTTCAATGCTTTATAATAGCTCAGTAATAGCTGCTGTGAGGAGACCTTATGCTTTCACTGAATTTGGTAGGTTTATCATTTCATTTTGCCTTTTCCTGTAGATATCATGACTTTTATTTCTGAAACAAAAAACCACTGCTTTTTGAATTTTCATTGGATAACTAGGAAACTATATCTCTTACTCAGACAAACATGACAAAATTATATATTATTTCTAATTGCCTTAATTTACACTCTTCAAGTTCTAATTCTGCAATAGCACTTTTTATTGTGTGTTTGATCTAATAATTTATTCATGGTTTTCAGACAGTTATATGGAGAAGATGCAGCAAAAGTATTGTAGCCCACAGTTTGTGGCTTCTCGAGGGAACTTGACAGACTTAAGAGCTGAATTGAGTATAAGTCCTCCAATAACTCTTTCTGTTGCTGACATATCTCCCCCGTCACCTGCACAGCAACATCCTAACTCTCCTAACCATGTATCTCTTGGGATACATGGAATAAGCAATGGAACTCTATCTAATAATAAGCATTCTGCTGATATAGCTCAAGGTTTGTGATTACCAACGAACTTCAATTGTATTGTAAGAGACTTACAGCTAATGTATTCCTCCAACAACTATGCTGCAGAATTAATATATGTTTTCATTTTGAAGATTTCCTGCCAAATGTATCATGGAATTTCTTTATGACAAAGTAACTTTTAACTTTCTCTCAAGATCAGATTGATTTTTCCTATATTTATTTATTTAAATAGCTCTCCTCTATAATCCTTTCTTGTCTTGAACAATGGTATGTTTGTGCATAAGAACTGTTGACTCTATTGTCTGGTGCAATGTTGTTCATTTTCTGCATGATGGTAGATTTTTATTTCTCTAGTGCTATTCATTTCATTATTTGATTAAATTTATGTGGCATCTTATTTTTTGAAGAATGTATCACCATGCTTCGATAAATAATTGAATGTTAATTGGAGCTGGTCAGTTTTAATTTTATTTTGAATTTTCAAGGTGAGAGTGATTATTATTAAAATATAGGTATTATATAGGTATAGATTTTTTATAAATATTATAAATACTATTAAACTCCTTTCTCATTCATTGGGGAGATGCTTGAAGACAAAATCTGATGTCAATGAACTTGATTTTCAATGGCTATTTAGACAAAAAAAAAAATCATCAAATCATTCTGGAAATTAACTCCATTCAAGCAGAAACTTTCTGAACAAATATCCATAAACAATGCTATGCTAGCATATTATTGCTTGACTAATGTTAGATCTTATATTAAAGATATTATATTGAATTTCCTCCTTCATAACTAACTACTACGGTAATGTGTATTGACATGGAAAATATCAGGCTTTTTTTCTGATCATTAATCATACCACATAAGGTTCCCAAATAACAATAATTTGCACGTGTATGATTTTCAGTCGGTGCATCGAAGCAACTGATGCCTCTGTCCTTGGCTGCACGAGGCCTCATATCCTTAGCGGTTCTGTTCTCCACGCTGGATGCCTACAGAGGGCTGTCTAGTCTCAGTCAAGGAGGGCTAGAGGTAAGTGAGTTTCGCAGCTCAATTAACTGAAAACTACTGTGTAATTATGAGAGGAAATAAAATATTGACAAATTTTGGGGAATTTTGTACATGAATTTTGTGTGCAAATTGTTTGGATTACATAAATATGAGATAAAGGTATTGGTTTCTATGAGTAACAGCATATTAATGTGATGTCAAGAATTAGACAGTTTTTATTTATTTAATTCAATCTTGCAGGAGTTTGATGGAAAATCACCATTGCTTGGATTTGGATTCCTATTGGAGTGTTCAATTTTAGGAAGTCAGGTGAGAACCAGCATGCAGATTATAGCTTGATTTTCTTCACCAATTAAATGAATGTTAACCTTAATAACTGCAGCAAGGCTCAACATATATTACATGAAGTTGTAATTGCATACTTCAGAATGGCTTGGAAAATTACATGGTCTTCACACAATATAAATAGATTTTTCCGTTTTATATATGTTTTCTACATTTTTTCAAGATGCTAAAATTTTAATGAGCATTAATATGAATTGTTTCTTGTCAAATGTGGTCCTTGGAGGTATAGGTAGTTGTTGAGTTATGAGCAAATCTACCAAATAAAACAATGAAGCATTTCTTCACTTCAGCAGCATGACATCCAGATACAATTTCAAATGTTTGTCATGAGTTCTAATAATTCTATTAATATATATATAATCAAGTGTTAGCTTCGATTAGGCCATGTTGGCCTGTAGCCAAATCTCACCTGGTTAATTCAAGAAAATTCGCTGATTTTGGCAAAAACATTTTCATCAAGTTGCGGGTCCCAAAACCCCAAAACTCCTTGCTCTAATCCTGGTAATCACTACCCGGCCACCCCAAGCATATGTTGTTATTTGACTGTGCTGGTGAGAAGGCAAGACTAGAAGGTTGCAACAGAGCCGCATACAAGCAACTTGAAGAAATTATTGTTTTTGTGGCATTGTAGCCTTAGCTGTTTAGTTTGAAGCAAGCTTGACGCATTATAGCGCTCAACCAACATGCCTGAAACATTATTCATTCAAGAAAAAAACAGATTCTAAATAGAATACCCGACTAACAAGCATGAGAGACCTGGTGTTAGTGATGCACAAAAACTTGTTTCCATGTTTTTTCAATGTATTTTCATTGTTCTTTTTTGTGTTGCAAACATTTTTCATAATAAATTGTTTTAATATGTGAATAAAGAGACCTTATTAGATGCATCAGATGAATATTCTATTTGAGTACTACTTTAATCATTGAGCAAATTCCTGTACTGATTGCTTCTAAGGATAATTTGCAGATTGGCAAATTTATATGAATAAAAAATAGGCCCAGTTTCTGCTATGGAATTTCATCCTGCAGATCATTAATTTGTTTACCAATATTTTTCACTGACGTATAAACTTTAGCCAAAGATTACAGCCACCAATCTAAATGAACTATGCCGTGGTTCGCATGTCGTTAGTCTTTTGTTTCCGTAAGTTATGTATGACCATGATTCATAATTTCTTACAATAACATTGAAGTACTAAATGAGCAGAGTGCAAAATAAATGTTGTCTTGCAACCATATGTTTGAGAATGCTCATTTTGGTGAAAATCTACGTCAAAAGGTGCCTCGCTGTAAATTTGCATTGTACTGTTTCAGATTTTTTGTTACTCTAATCCGCTAATCATGTGTGGAAAATACATACCTTGACCATACAAATCAAAATTTTATTTGCAGACAACTCACTGCATTGTTTACAGGTTCACGTGTTGCGTCGGTATCAGCGCTTCCGTAAGCTGTGGAGCCTGGCGAGCGTGGTGCTGGTGGCGCTCGTGTCGCTGCTGCTGCTCTCAGACCGCCGGGACGCGTGGCTGTCACTGCTCTACGTCGCTGTCAGCGCTGCTCTTGCATATTTTACTCTCAATAGAAACTTTCGTAAACTTAACAAATTCAACGTATGATTACAGACTTGTTTCTTAGATCTTGGATTGACATATTTTTGTATTTTTTAAGACTTTACTGGGGTTCTTTTTGTGTATTATTCCATTTAAGATGAGATTCCATTTATGTAACTATCTTAAACCGACGTCTTTCCTAGACCTCAGCCTAATTTGTGCACTTTTCTTCTGACAAATCTAGAGATTCCTATTGTTGGCACACGCACAGCATAAACTTTCGTTCTCTACTCTGACCATAGGTGATAAATATTCTCAAGACTTCTGAACAGCTTAATTTTTTGCAACGAGTATACAAATACCTTCATTTCTGAGTTTTATTCTCTGCTAGAACTCCCATTAAGGTCTGATTGCTTTTTGTCTCTTTACACCTGGCAGAACTGTTATCCGGAGAAACCTTTAGAAATTGCATATATATGGTTATCTCAGAACTGAACAATTTTTTTAAGACGCGTTGAAACGGGTGTAATATCAAGTACGATTTTAATTGACTTTAAAACAATTTTATGTCTAATAGATTTCAAATCATGTTCCAGTTAACTCAGCTAATGTGATGGGCGGAAAACTGACGACACTGGCGAGATTTACAGTAAAAAGTACGCTTAGTTTTGCAGATATAATATTTTCAAATAGCTAACTTTTAGTTATTTGTTAAAAGGCGCGATATTTTTGGTTGTTCCTGCACTATACATTTGATTTTGTAATGAACAGATGATCCATTTCACTACAGCGTAATTCCGCGCGGCGAGGGGTTAATGTGGTTATAAAGAATTGAGTATTCTAACCTGTCATTGAAAATTTACTTTACACGAAGTGTTGAAGCGGCATTTCTAACGATGGCATTCGTTTGTTCGAGACTTTTTTCCCTATACCGAATTTAGTGCTTGTATGTTTCATATTATGCGTTTTCTTTATATTTTCTTCAATTTTAACAATGTTTTGAACGTTTCTTTATTATATTCGTATTTTAAGGTCGTTATTTAATTTACTTCAATACTTCGATTATCATGTCTGGATTTAGATCTTTTATACCATTATTAGGACTCGTATTTAATTATAGCAATTTTCCACTTATTGCAATAGTGGGTTATATGTAAGGCAAGTGACAAATTTGTTATTTATGACTGGTATAACCTGCGCACCATCGCGTCTTACTTTACGTGGTGCTAAGAGACTCATAGTAGAAAGAAAAGTCTACATTCTCGAGGCGCCAGCCACAAATAATTTGGTGTTCATGCAGATTTATTTTTTTAAGATTTCAAAGTTTTGTTTAATTTTCTTAATTTTAAAGTTGTGCAGTTTACGACTGAGATTTTGTTCGTTATTTATTTCGCTGTATATTTTTATGGATTTCCCCCATTACAATTAGGTTTATCGCAGCAACATTATGAGGTAATTAGAAACTTCTCCATCCGTCAATCATGCTTTGGACGATTTTAACATTAAACTGTTACTACAAGAGCAGTTTGACTTTTTTTGCTAATTGTAATTAAATAAGTGCTGCTTTAGAAGTATGATTGTAAATTGTTACAATACGTTTATTATATTCTGATCATTGCCTGTTCAGGTTTGCTGTTGCGCTCCAGTCTCCACATACGTTGAGTAAAGTTTTGATTATTTACTTTTCGGTTTCGTACAGGATTCCTAATTGCACGCTTCCATTGCACATTTTATTCAGTAGGAAATTATTTTATTTTCTCCCTTGCACCTGTGACAAAGTGCGTGTTGCTGTGATGGTAAAATGATGCTCGAACAAATCCTCGTATCTTAAGATGGTTTTGCGATAGCTAGAGTTGCAGGCCTCGGCTACCTTGTATGACCTAGTATTTTAAACACTATATCTTCCTCCCCATGTGTTACGTACATTTGACAAGCAAGGTCTAAATTACGAGCTGTGGGAGAGTTTGTGAGATACAGTGAATAATTCTATTTGAAAAAAAAAAATAATGTAACGTGCGTTTTTGAATTAATGACTTTTAAATCTATGTATTTATACTGTAACTTGGCACCATCTTTAGGCTTGCATGAACTCCTGTTACTACGGCCGTTTTCAAACGTATGCAGGTTTATTTTTCTAGTTGGTTTTGAATAATACCTTCTGTTTACTGGATTTATTGTTATCAAATATTTATTATATCTAAGTTTCTTTATCCTCGGGGAAACAGAAGAAATGAAAACATTTTTCAAGAAGTGAATCGATTCTTGAACATTTTCGACTGATTCTAGGACAGGATGAGTTTGCTCTGTATCCACGAAAAAGAAAACTCCGTTCACTATCCTATGAGGCATAGGATCTATCCTTTCTGCCACTCGTCTGTCCCTTAGTCACTATCATCAGAGTTGTTGGATTTATCCTCACTACCACTTTCAGAGCCACTCTTCTTGCCCTTATTTCTGGGAGTTGTTCCGCCAGCCTCTGAACCGCTGGGTGATGCCGAGCCTTCATCTTCTGAAGAGTCGGTCAGAGCTTGTCGCTTGCCTCCCTTCTTAGGCTTACTGCTCGCCAGGTCCGAGTCGTCTGTGTCAGAGTCTGAGTAAATCGAAGCGCGCTCTGCGAAAGGTAAAACGCTATCAAAATACATTTGAAAATTTTATTTCAAGGCACATCACGTTGAAAAAAAAAGAGAATTAGATTTCATTAAATTGGGAAAGTCTTGAAGATAACTAGTCTACTTTACCATTTAGATGCACACTCGTGAAAATCAATGTAAAGTACAGGGATGAGTAAACCAAAAAACTCAGCTTGAGTTCGGTGTGCTCAGGTTACATCTCCTCTCCTCATGACTAGTAATAAAACAAGCAGAAGCTCTATTAATGGCAAAACTTAAATTGAAGTTTTCATTTATACCAAGGTAAGATGTGCAACTAAAGAATTAATTCAGTTATTCAACACACCTTTCGCCTTCTTCTTCTGTTGCTTTTTGATGGCGCTGATGGAGAAGGTGCCTTCCTCTTCCTCCTCCTCTTCTTCCTCCAGATATCCTTTGGTGAGGCCCTTGGCAGGGGCGCGTTCCTTCACCCGCTTCTGCTTGCTGGCGCGCCGCATGGTCGCTCGCAAGCGGTCTTCGTCACGCTGCCAAAAAAATTATGCATTTTATTTGAATACAAAAAATGTAATACAGAAACCAAGCATGACAGAAGAGGCGAAAACTATGATGTTATGAACGTGTTATATTTTCTAATAAAAAAGAGAAGTCATTGCCAGCGGTCTTCAAAACGTTCATACTATTTCAGATTACATAGAACTATATCATATTTGTCTAATTATTATATTTGTGATAATTATAACTAAAACAAATACAACTGGAAGAGATCAATATATGGCTTGAATACTTCATTTTATTAAGAATATAATTTTATAAAAGTAAATACACATGTCTGAGAGAGAATGTTGAATTAAAGCATTTGTGTGTGTCAAAAAACCAAATTATATCCCTCCAATATTTTCCTTACATGATATAAAATTCTCTACTACTAATGTCTTACTTAGTATACATTTGCAATTGGAAAAGAGCTACACACATAACTTCACTGTATCAAAATTTCGCGAACATTACACCCATGATACAAGTTGCAAAGTAGTATTGATACATTGTAGAGTTCGTTGCGTCTCCACGAGCATTTCTACACCATTGACACTCAGGTGACCGTTCCGTACCTAGTTGAGTTCATTGCGTCTCCACGAGCATTTCTACACAATAAATACTAGGAGGTGACCGTGCCGTACCCTATTGAGTTTGTTGCGTCTCCACGAGCAATCGAGCATTTCTACACCATTAATAGTACTCCGGTGAAAGTGCCGTACCTTGTAGAGTTCGTTGCGTTTGGTGTCAGGATCCTTGATGACCTGCGAGAGCACCTTCACGGCGGAGGTCTTGAGGGATCGCTCAGCCAACGATGAGAGGATCTTCCTGTGCGTGAAGCTGTCGGTCGAGTGTGGTCGGAACGACAGCTTCGTTCTGAACACGGCTTGTCCTTGCAAGCCTGTGCCTTGCCTGATGAACAGGTGGTTGTGGTCACCCTGTTAACATAAGACGGGTAGTTAAATATATATTGATTCAACAAGTGATCTGCAAATATCCTAGATGAGAAAGTTAAAGTTATTTTTAAAATGAAACATGTTAACACAGTTAAAGCATTTGTAAGGTGGACATTAAAACCAGTAATCACAAATCAAATAAGCAGTTAAACGATAATTAACACAACGGGTATCAAAATGCTACCTGCAGAGGCTGTTTGTACACATCGAAGATCTCGGAGCCAAGGTGGAGTGACAGAGATCCGTCCGACCAGCGCACCAGCTTTGCGTTGCTTTCTCTGATCGCGTTGCCTTCGCTGTCGAAATTCAGGCGCCAACGAATCGTGTTCTCGACTTTGAGCTTCAGCCTGGATGTTGAGACAAAAATTATCAACATCGCACTCATTGTGTCTAAAAAAATTGTCGAGTTTTTGTAAGATGAAATGGTTAGAAAAATGTCGATAATGTCACCAAGCAAATGTTTTTAGGCGATAATGGAATGCGACAGAAAGTTTTCTGTACAATTTCAGAACAACGGCAATAAGTTCAATTGTTATAGGTTGAATAGTGTATATAAGAGTTCAGTTTGGTAATAGGGTTTCATTGTGAAGCAGCTATCTGTAACCGTAAGTCACAAAAATAATCAACAAATTGGAAGGTTTCCATTATTTAATTTTTTCTACTCAAAAACATTCATCACCCACAAGGGATGATAAAAAATTCGTCTTCATGGCGTCCCTACCGTCATTTGCCCACCTCCCCCCTCTCTTGGTCGCCTCCTGAGCCGCGTATTCGACGTGCTCGAGTTTCACGCCGCAACAAACAACAACAACATACGAAATTCATACCTCGCCCGACCCTCCTCATCGAGCGTCTCTTCTTCGTCTATCTCGTCCTCATACGTCTCGTGGTCAAATGGCCTGCGCTCCACAGAGAGGAAATTGGGAAGCTTCACGAAATGGATCTGACGACCGAGATCTGTGTTGATCTTCGGGATCTCAGCCTCGATTTTGGTTTCAGGAACGACGGTTTCCTCTTCTTCCTCTGCTGCTCCGCCTTCTGCTTGATCTTGGGACTGCAATTGAAAAATAAGTTGATAATTTTAGTTTTGTCAGATTGCATTATGACATTGTAAAATTATGCAGTCTGTCAGGGGTTATTGATCTTAATGATGAAAAAATGTCAATAATGACGTTATTAGTTAAAAATAATAACGTTAATAACAACTTAATCAATATAAAGAACTAAACAAATAAAGTCAAGCCTTTATTTATGGTCATCTTACAAAGACACGAGAATGCCTGTTGACGGTTTATCAGAAACTTCTTAAATTCCAGGCTAAGTTTAAATGCTAATCTCTTGGAAGTTAATTCGGACTTTAGAGAACCAGTGTAAAATCTCACGTTTATCTAAATTGAATTTTTTTTAAACTCTCATTCTCAAACATAATTTGTTATTTAAAAATTTGTTGTTGTAGTCTAAAATATGAACCGAATAATTATCTTTAACAAGTACCTATCTAAAAGTAACTCACGTCACTGGGCTTAGGCGAGCGAGAGCGACTCCTAACATCGCGCTCTAGATCACTACCTCGTCGCACGTCATCCTCGTCATCACTGAGCATCACGCCACGCCGGGGCGCGGGTGCTTTACTGGAAACGCTCTCTTCTTCCGACTGAGCGTCGTCCGCGTCAGAGATGTCGTCAGCATCGCCGAATAAATCTTCAGCTATCACTTCTGCACACAAGCATTTGTTGTATGGGTTTGATTTAACCGAATAAATCTTCAGCTATCACTTTATTTCTTCGTTGCTTTTATATTCAGCATTAAATGATTAAAATTAAAATTAGCATGAATAGATTAGCAAGATTGCAGACCAATGACTCTTATCCTTTGAATGAAACCTATTAGTATTCAATGTATTTGAAACTAATAAGTAATGCCCTTACAGAATAAAAGTATGAAAAAATCAACAATATAGTTTTCTCCATTTTACAATTTATCAGAGGCATGAAATATTCAATGATTTCAGTACGAGTTGCTATAACATCTTTAAATAAGACGTAGATCCTAAAATGGATTGAATGGCAGAAATCTGTGTCAAGCGCGTCTTCAAGCTCTGAAGACCTTGCATTCTATGATCAATTATGACCTGCTAATTTAAACAATATTGGAATATATACACCACATAACAATACAATGTTAATGAGATGCTAAATAAAAGAACTGATATAATGCACAAAACATTACAAAGTAATTGAGCAGACCTTGATCTGCTTGAGAGCGGATTTTCTTTGCTGTAGTAGGATCCGAATCTTCATCACTGAGATCATGGCTTTTGCGCTTCCTAAAGAAGAGGGTATAGTCTTAAAAATATAACTCAGCACTCACTCACTGGACGGACAGACAGACATGGCGAGCACAATAGTGCATTTTTTGCATAAATGAGGAAATGTGTTAAAAATGGGTTAGGGACAAGCTTTAGAATAAATGAGTCCAAATCAAACCCATCAAGCACCAAGTTTATATTTCATGACGGAAGTATAATTTTGTATGAATACAGTATTACTGTATACAAAAAAACTGACATAGAAATGAATTTAGGACTTTGTAAATCTCATTCAATTATACAACCAAAGATTAACATTGTAAGTTAAAAGTGAGATGTATAAGTTAAAACATAGCGTGGTAAAAATACAAAAAATTCAGAGCTCTTGGAATCTTACCCTGAGGTGATAGAAGGGCTGTCTGCACCTGAACTGGCATCTGAAAGAAAAAGATTCATTACCTACTCGGAGAAATTTCTGCACTCAAGTTTGGATCTTCATGAACTACTATATATCAAATATCAATAGATTTAGCCACATCAAAATAACTAAAGATCTTAGTAGCTTACCAGATGATCGTGCTTTTTTTCGTGAAGGAGATGTGCCTGCTTTTCGTTTTTTTGCAGCTTCAGCTGATGCCCGGTCTTTGGATGCAGAATGATTAGCCCCACTACCAGCAGGTGAGTGGCTTTTTTGAATACCTGCTGGTGACTGACTTGCTCGACTGCCAGCAGGCGAACGGCTTGCTCTACTGCCAGCAGGTGAAATGCTTGCTCGACTGCCAGCAGGTGAACGGCTTGCTCGACTGCCAGCGGGTGAACGGCTTGCTCGACTGCCAGCAGGTGAACGGCTTGCTCGACTGCCAGCAGGTGACCGGCTTGCTCGACTGCTGGCAGGTGAACGACTTGCTCGACTTCCAGCAGGTGAATGGCTTGCTCGACTGCCAGCGGGTGAACGGCTTGCTTGACTGCCAGCAGGTGAACGGCTTGCTCGACTGCCAGCAGGTGAACGACTTGCTCGACTGCCAGCAGGTGAACGACTTGCTCGACTGCCAGCAGGTGAACGACTTGCTCGACTGCCAGCAGGTGAACGACTTGCTCGACTGTCAGCAGGTGAAAGACTTGCTCGACTGCCAGCAGGTGAACGACTTGCTCGACTGCCAGCAGGTGAACGACTTGCTCGACTGCCAGCAGGTGAGCCGCTTCCTCGACTGCCAGCAGGTGAGTGGCTTGCTCGACTGCCAGCAGGTGAGCCGCTTGCTCGACTGCCTGCAGGTGATTGACTTGCTGAGAAATGACTTCCATGACTTGGGGCAGGTGACGGTTGAGATGGACTTCCATTTTCTGACGGATTCTTGAGGCGCTCAGCATTTTTTTGGTTCATTCTAGGGGACCCATTAGTAATACAGCCATCTAGAGAGACACTCCTATTACTTCCAGCAGGTGAGACACTCCTATTACTTCCAGCAAGTGAACCACTCCTATTACTTCCAGCAGGTGAGACACTCCTTTTTCTTCCAGCAGGTGAGACACTCCTATTACTTCCAGCAGGTGAACCACTCCTATTACTTCCAGCAGGTGAGACACTCTGATTACTTCCAGCAGGTGAGACACTCCTATTACTTCCAGCAGGTGAGACACTCCTATTACTTCCAGCAGGTGAGGCACTCCTATTACTCCCAGCAGGTGAACCACTCCTATTACTTCCAGCAGGTGAGACACTCTGATTACTTCCAGCAGGTGAGACACTCCGATTACTTCCAGCAGGTGAACCACTCCTATTACTTCCAGCAGGTGAACCACTCCTGATGCTGCTGGGGGAAGCACTTCTAGCACTTCCTACATCAGAGCTGCTGCCTGTTGGAGATGGGCTTCTTGAATTGTGAGCAGATGAGTGTCCTGAGGAAAATTAGTACCTAATGTTACTGATAGCCAACAATAATTGATGTCACTTATTTGCTTAAATTGCAGGTTAACTAAAAATTTAAAAGCAAAGAAAAGTTCACAAAGATTCATATCTTAATAGAAAACGTTTTGGAGTCCAGCTCCATTGTCAGTTTGTAGAATCTAGAATTTATATATAAAATCACAAATTAATATGTACAATTGAAAGTAATTAATCATTTGTATTAATTTGTGACTTTCTATGCGAATTCCAGATTCTACAAACTGATTATGGAGATGGGCTCCAAAAAATTTTCTATTAAATATGAACTTTTGTGGACTATTATTTGCTTTTACATTTTTAGCCAACAATATCACACAAATAGGAAATCCAGATCAGAATAATATGCTATGCTTCTTTTAATTTGTCTTCCAAGTAGCAAATCTTGCAAAAATAAAACTTTTGACAACAAAGAATACATGAAAAAAATTAATTGTTTATGGTAAGTTAAATTGCAACATGTTTTCAACATTCTAACTAGTCTTACAAACAAAAACTATTCTTACAAATAATTCAAGTATCAAAATTCATTCAAATTATTCTAGCACCATCTTATATTTAAAGCCATGTTTACTAACCAGCTGTGCTGCTGCCACTGGAATTTGAGTTCTCTGCTCCATATGTCTCAGCCATGAAGGATATTTTCAAGTTAATCACAATCTGTCTAATGCAATGTTAATTTTATCTTTTATTGCAAAAATTATATAAAAGGAATCAAAATATACAAGTCATAGTTGAAGCCATTATTCAATAAATGTTTAACTCTATAGAGACATTCTGAAACTCACACACTCAATCTTATCATGAATTTATTTTCTAGAAAAATTGAAAATTTAGGGTGATGAAATATGTACAAGGCTTTTGAAATGGCTTCAAAGTTGCATACTATATATATACAGTAGAACCTTGGTTAAAGAACCCTTCAGTAAAGGAATAATTCTGATTAGCAACCAAAAATTTTGATAAAAATTTACCCCAATCAGTGAAAAAATTTTGGTTAGCAAAACAACTAATGTGTCATTACCAGGCATGTGACCAAGCTTCAGAGATGGCATGCCACTTCCTTGTTCATAAGATTCAGCTTTGATTGGATATTCTTTACCTTTAACAGTTCACAACCATCTTATTTAGTGACTTTTGTGTTTTATTTGAATAATTATATATAGCCCTCAGCCATGCCTGCAAAGCAGATAAATAGTGTATGAGGCAATAGGAGCCTAAACTTGTTTAATGACAATGTGAGGTCATTTTATCCAAAAGTGTTACTTACAATAAAGGCAGAAGCAACAACACTGGGTAAGTTTTTCCTTTGACCTCAAAGTAACAGAGAAGGTAATCAACCCCTGAGGTTACAATTCCCAATAATCTCTTGGTGGCGGATTGCCCCTCCAAGCAATAATTCCTCCTTTTCCTCCCAACTCTTATATATGCACTCACACCAATAGACACCATCACATCATAGTCAGAACAATAAGTATCCTTATATTTACTATATGTTTTCTTATGTTTAAATACTTTATTCACTGATTTTATATCTTTTTAGCACCATTTATAACTGTTCTCATCTAAAAACATTCCTGTACAACCTGTACCTATATATATATGCCTTTAATATAGTCCATAAGCTAAAGCTTACGTGACTAGGCTTGTAATTTTGCACCATTTTAATTGGTTCATGTCATTAATTCACTATGACAAAAAAAATTATATCAGTACGGTGACAGACGTCAGTAGGTACCATCAAACGGGGTAATAAAGGAAGGGACAAGTGGGATAAATCAGGACAGTGGACACCCCTAAAAACCATTTACAGTAGAACTTCAGCTAGCAAAGGCTCCAGGTAAAGTGAGGTAACCAAAAAATCAATCAACAACAAAAAGTTTCAATTACATCTACCTTGCTCGGCAAAAAAAATTTCATTTAATGAAAAATTAATGCATCATTGCCTCATGGGTCATCACAAAATTGTGCCTAGAAGGCTAGAATGTCAGATGGAATGGTGCACTGGCAGGATGGAATTCTAATTTCGAAGGTTCATATATTATTTCGATCCACCAAGACCACTTTTTCTACCCAACATCGTTATTTGAGGCAAAAAATGAACTTTTTAAAGGCTTAAAATATGCTAACTTGCTCAGTTTCTATAAGTACGTAATCACTTGGAAGTTGTATGCCTGCACCTTTCACTCAACAATTAAAATTAGACTTATAAAAAGTATTAGTTAGTTGAAAATTTGTCTCTTAAGTTGACCACAATGAACTAAACTTCATTAAGTAATCATTAGGCAGAGTTTTCCATCATGCACACTAAACACACATTCAGAGTTCAGACAAGCAGAACTACATAACATGTGAGCTAACGTGCTACTGAATTGAAATTGAATAGGTACCTAGCTTCTTTCCCGCTCTCGGAAAATCTAGCGGGATGATCAATCGTATACTTAATTCGTATACGGTTGTATACGAATTAACTAATCGTTCGTATACTTAGTGCAAGAGAATGAATAATTATGTTGTTTCTGATCAAACGAACGAAAACTTCTGATCAAACGAATGAAAACTTCTGATCAAATGAACAAAAACTTCTGATCAAATGAATGACAACAAACTTTTTGAAGATAATTCTGAAATCGTAATGTCTATTGAATTCTAATACGGATAGTTAATTTTACTATCGTATTTCCAAAATCGAGTATTGCATTTCTTTTAATTGAAAAACATTCTTTTACATAAAAAACAACGAATTATTTCTTACAGCTCCTCACAAATGACGAATGAATGCTCCTCATATTGACAAATGACGATCTTACTCTTAGAGCTAAAAATTTTAAATTGAAGGATTTTGTCATTTCAAAGACTCCATTGATTACAGAACTTTAGTTTTTGGAAGTGTATTCAAGAAAAGTTTCTGAAATAGTAGAAACATTTCCATTATCATTCTGAAATAGAAGCGTCATTTCCGTTCTTATATATAAACAGGATTAATAAAATACCTATCAAATCCATCTAATGTCATTCAATTTGTGATGTATGAATGACAGTTTTACTTTGATTCCTATGATGCTAATTTTTACCGGTTGAAGCTGTAGAATTAAATTAGATTAAAAAATTAATTACAATTAAATTTTACTAAATCAAATTTTATTATTTAATATACTAGGTGGTACATGCTATAGAATAAAATTCTATTAGAAAAATATTGAATTAAAAATCTGATTATATGTTTTAAATTAAAAATTAATTTTTATTAAATTAAATTGTAGGTATTATTAATGCACTATAAGGTTTTTGTGCTCTATTTTTTATATAATGAAATAGTTTCCCATGTTAAACAACGAAAATTTTCTAAAAGACACAAAACGTTCGAAAACGCGTGATGGCAGACGAAATCAGTCAGAATTTGAAGTGAATTTATCAAGATGAAATGATAAATTCAACATAATAGGGCAAAAAATAAAAAAATTCAAATCTGGAACGTATAAATGAGTTTTTATAATTCAAAAAAACTTTCAATCATTTAAATCTCAGAATGGAATGTGACTCAAATCTATTTATTGTGAAATCATTGCAAATCAAACAAGACACAACCAAACAAAAGCGCTTGTGACGGCGTCCTGTAATTACGTAAACATAGGAAGTTATGTGAATGTACGCAGTGAAAAAGTAGAAGTTTATCTTATAATTTTGTGTGAAATCGAAAACTTTATTGGTCTTGTCCAATCGTGAGAATTTTTACAAATGTGGAAGTGTTTTTTATTATTTTAGAATGTATTCATTGCAAAAATTTGTCTACTACCCTACAGATAGACGACTAGTTAACTTGATTGAGGCGTTGCCAGCACAGGATTGGATGTCGAACCACGCGCAATTTCGGAAGTTTCGAATGTGCTCAGTTTATCAATTTTCATTGCAGTGGAAGGTGGTGTAATGAGCCGCGAGATTTCATACCTACTGAAATTATATGATATTAGAGCCGCGATATTTCAGACAAAAATAGGACTTTTCCAGACTAGATCACATTCACTGTAATGACTGTATTCACATCATTAATACAATAATGTATATTGTATGGATATGGTAAATGGTAATATCATATCAATAATGGAAATGATCAATAAAAAACACAGAAAATGTCATTAATTCCACATTTACATAGGCTAATCTACAAAGAAAGAGGAGGACTTAACTGACAATTGACATCACGATTCACTTCACGCACACGGTATTCGGGTATTGACGGTAAGATAGCTTTAAAATGTAATCTGTTGCATACAAACGTCCTCAGGTTGCAACAGTCAATAGTTTACGTATACCTAATTCAAGTTGAAAGTTATGTTCCCAGAGAGTGACTCAGTCTCACTCAGAGTGACATACGTCATACGGTACGGCGGTGCGGTAGAGGGTTAAATTTCACTTTTAGTTATGTACCTAAAATTAAGATTAACATTATACAAAATATTCAACGTTACTTATAGTAAATTAAGAGTATTAGTAAATGATGAACATACAGCTAGAACCTAGAAGTTCTAGAACATCTACTATCAACTTCTGGGAGTTCTGGCTCTGGGTGGGGTTAACCCCAAATGGGATATGGCCCCCCCCCACGGTCCCACCGGGCCACCACACGTCTTCACACAACGAGTGGCCAATCTAAACTATTGGAAAACGGAACACTTTTCCGTTTTACAACAAGCATAATTTTCCGCAGGCTTCGTCTGTGATTTAGTCTATGCCACTTTTTCATGCGCTCCTCCTCTGTTACTTTGGAATATTATTGTAATATAAATACATAGAATGGGTTATAATTTTCACTTAAACGGCTTTTAATTGTGCTGCTCGCCACTCAATCTGAAAATCCTCAATTGCTAAAATACAGTGTTATTTTGTTGCTCCAACAAATAGGTTGGCGCCCAAAAACTTGCAATAATATATGAAGATCTCTAGACCGTAGACGTAGAGGAACTCAGAAATCGATGTAGTGATCCATTAGAAGTTCAGTTTGGTTAAAAAATTTCAATCTCATTAACCTATTAACACCTAACCTTCTGGTTGATTTTTCATCATTCTCGAATGAATGGTATGATAAGTGATGCAATAAATGAAAACTTTATGGTTTAAACCGGAAGAATGAATTGCAAATAAATTATTATGAATTCCTAAGACGTGATCAAGCTCAAAAATCTAAGGCAGAAATAATCAATAGGGGCATTTAAGAGACATCTAGGTAACGATAAAGCTTTAATTATGAGGTACTTGATATATAAGATTGTAACTATATTAATCTTTCATCAATTTGCTTTTACTTTAAGTCCGTATTGTGCGACAGCGTGGTGGTCATGGCGTCCAGCCATTTAGCTGCAGCGAGAAGTGGGCTCACTGCATCATATGGGAGAAGCTATTTTGGTGGCGGTTCGCCCCTTGGACAGGTGCCGGCGAACAGGAGTCGGTAGTCGTGGGATCACTACGGAGTCGTGGACATCCTGTGTGAGTGTTACGCCAGATATAAACGATAGCCAAAGCCTTTACACAATTTGTTGCATGCAGATCCCATATTAATATTTACTGACTAGACTAGCCGATTCGAAATTCGGGCTTTATAATTCGTTTAGTGGGTGACGACAGTGATAATTTCTAGTCAAGGACATTATTTGTCGCTTTAGCCACCTGTACTACAACCATCTGGAGCAACTGGCAAACAGCAGGCGATGACCAATGGTCAGCTGCAGCTAAGTGATCATCGGCAAAATCTTTGGCACGAGTGTGGGACTTGGAACGAGCTTGTTCGATGAAGATTTCAAGGTCAAGGCTTTTCCTCGTTATTAACAACCACTATTTCGTGTAGAAAAATTGTTTAATTTATTTTTATGTATTCATTTACGTCTCTCTATGAATTTTGAGTGCCTGTACACGCACCACGTACACAATTGCAACGACCTAGTCAAGGTTAAATAGAATTGTAACTTCTCTTTTTAAAAATTATAAATTTAACCAAGTAACAGAAGGTCGTTTAACTTCTAACTAAGTAACATAACACACAGAATATGAAATTTAAGAAGTGAATTTTAAGATAGATACATGTATTTGGAATGCCTGAGTTGATTGCAGGAAATTATGACCGTGACATGCGGCCATAAGGTTGACGCGTGTGCTCTGCAGCTGATTTAACTGTCATTACAGAAGATGATTCTCTAAGCTTTAACATCAACGGGATAATCGTAAGCTTGGCCACCTGCCAAGATTGTGAGCTTGGCAGACAATGACAATACACGAATTCTGATATGTTTTTTATAAACACATTTTATCCTTTCAAGTAAAGTGTGTATAAAGACTTCATACATTTAATTTTATTTACGAATTCGACATCCAAATTATGAAACTTACGCCCATTTTTCAATATATTTAATCACAAATCGAGGAGAACATGTAAAGGAATGAAATGGAATGATCCCTAACAGTACAGTCAACTAAAAGAATGAATGCAACCCCATGAACTACAGTATGTGTGTGAGTACATAGATTTTGTAGAACGGATAGTACGTTGTTCGAAGAATACGTAATAAGTAGCATATGCTCATTGTCTAACACTTTTATCATAGACCGGACATAGCTAATGGCGATATTAGAGATCGTTTCTGATTTCGCGTGCGACCTCGAGCTAATGTCGTCTTGTTAATGTTTCCGGCCCATAGTGTGAATTGAATTGTGTAAATATGAGGTTCGAAATTATGGTGGATAGTGGAGGAAAGTTATGGGTGAAATGAAGACTCGTAAGGTTTACGATTAAATCCTCACATTCGTGTTCCAAGTATAGATGTTGTGTTGTATTTAAATGTATGTAAATTCAGGGTTTCATGGCGTTAATGATCTAGGTACTAAGATGCCGCACTGAATTTAGATATGACCCTTCTTATTCATGGGCCAATCTATTATTACATAACATAACATAACATAACATAACATAACATAACATAACATAACATAACATAACATAACATAACATAACATAACATAACATAACATAACATAACATAGTGATGTCGGCGCTGAAGAGTAGGCCTGATGTGGCCTGTCGCCGATTCGTGTACTTTTCGTGCCTTGTTCACAGAAGATCTAAAATCGTATCAATTGACCGGATGTTGTCAGGACTGACGATAGTTTGGAATATCTACTAGACTTCCACCGGGTTCGATAAGGAGCTAGGCATTTCAAGTCTGAGCATATATTTTTCCATAGCTTTATCTAGTCTGTTATTGAACGCGTTCATACTCGGAGCGCCAATGATGTAATCAGGGAGGCTTTTCTACATGTCGGTGATTCGAAGCGAGAAGAAATGTTGTCGCGTGGAGAAGTTGCAGCGCAGTTTTTTTTTACTGAATTCCGACGATTTCAGCTGATTTTCATTTGCAGCTGATTTTCATTTACCGGCGCTATTTTGACATTTTATTGTGGCTAGATTCCTACATTCATTACCTTTAAATATTTTAAAAATGATGCCTCAATAATAACTACCAAAGCCAGCCCGTGACGTTTCCTTGTATTTTTGACCAGCGACAATGAACAGATTGGCAGCCGTACGACGGCACTGACAAGCGCTATCAAAAATCAGTTTAAAATTGTTACATTTTTGACGTGCTGGAGACTGGCTGCGCGGTGATGAGTGTGTCAGGAAATATAAGCTAGTGGCAGAAAAAAATTGATCTCTTTGCTGAGTAATCTCATGTAATGAAAATAATGAACAATTCACTCAGAGAAATGAATGAAACTTTAAGTGCGAACCCGGCTCGCTTTGTGGGTAAGACGTTATGACCCATTATGGACATTATAACCCATTTATTTCTCTGAGAGAAGGCTTTTTAGCGCATTTTCTCATTTATGAAAAAAATGCACTATTGTGCTCGCCATGTCCGTCCGTCTGTCCGTCCGTCCGTGACCTCACGTTTTCGTCTACGAGAAAATGCGCTCTCTGTCACTCACTGCAGTGAGTACTGAGTTATATTTTTTTATCCTGTCACCGCTTGAGAAATGGATTGATATAGCGGGTGTTAACTGTCCATGAATCTGCTGGTATTTAAAGTTTATTCGGAGTTTAATTTACCCAACATATTGTCGTTTGATTGTAAACATTTGTTTGTAGCAGACGGTGTGATTTTTAACGATCATTAATTAAATAGTTTGTGATTTTCTGCTAACATAAATGGTAAAGTATCACAAGCGCGGGGATTATAGAAGGTGGTGTTAACCATCTAAGTTGTGGGTTTGTCTTAAGATCAATAAATCGAAAAATTTCCAAGAATTTAAAAACAAATAAATTAGCACAAAAATTCACCATTTCATTATATTAGAAAACGCTTCGGAATCCAGCCATCATCACTTCATTCGTCAGTTTACTGGATTTTGAACCAACGGTACAGGTGGAATAAAAAATATTTTTACTGATAAAGAAATAGTAAACTATTAGGTTACTTTCCTTACTTTTAAATTCAGGGTTAGCCTTGCGGTGGAGCGTGAAATTTTGACTCTGTTGGCTTTTTAGTGTATCTGATATACGCCCTCGGGTAGCCGGCAGTGTTGAAGAAATTGAAGGCCCCACATTCGATGTTCACAAATGCGCAACGAAAGCAAAAATTGAGGATTTAAGAAATCCTGTAGATACACACAAAAATGACTAGATTAAGGTTAAATGGCGGACTTTGCTTGGGACTTCAATTCGCAATTGCTCTAGAGAAAGCGAAATATTATATTTAGAATATTTCAACATTATTTCACGGTAAATATATTGTAACTCAATCGACATTTGTGCTTTAAGCTTAATATTTTTTATATACCTTCAACAATGTCAGGGAATAGAATGTGAGCTTCGTCCTTGCTGCCAACAACCGCTATACGTGGCCGGTTTTTTTCATAAGTCTCGCTGTCACTCTTCTAAAGTTAGCAGAGTCTAACACCTGCACCTCCTAGACTTTCTCTCATGTTCGTCACGCAGCTGCACTCGTCCAGAAAATCTGTGTCCAGTGGATGCTGTATAATCCGTACTGAGTCCACTTGTGTATATATTTTACACTCAATGTTACTTGGCAAATATAGGATGATAGTTCTTCCATTTTTAAGTAATAATGAGTGACGATGCACACATATTCGAGGGTAATTACGAACTGTGGCTAACCGTGTGGAATTTTGTTTACAGTTTCAATTTTCTTATCGATCACTACAAACCTCATATCCTATCTGCATCACAGAAATTAAAATTGAACAGAATTAGCGTGTACTTTGACCCAGACTAAAACCGTCCCCTGAACTAGAAATTAGGGACTCACTTCAGAGATAATGAGTACCCCACGTATATCTTATAATGAGTACCTCACGTATATCTTATAATGAGTACCCCACGTATATCTTATAATGAGTACCTCACGTATATCTTATAATGAGTACCTCACGTATATCTTATAATGAGTACCCCACGTATATCTTATAATGAGTACCCCACGTATATCTTATAATGAGTACCTCGCGTATCTTAACAAGCATGCAATCTAACACTCACGCTGAACAAAATCCATCCACGAACGAGGAAAAATAACGACTGGTTTTTATGCTCAGTCGAAAGCTACGGTAGCGACTTTAATTCAAGTATTCGTTCTTAAGTTTATTTTACGATTTCTTGCAATATCAATCTGGTTGAAGTAAATTGTGTGATAATAATTACAATAACTTCTGATCATGAACATTTTCTATGGAACTGGCCGGTCGAATATTACAATCACCTTATGGAGTATCGAGAAGATAATAAAACATTTTAGGAAAAGATGTACTCGACATGAATGAATGGTGATAATTACTATACATTCAATCTTTAGAGCTAAGTCATGATGACACAACCTGTGAGCTGGCCGCCTTACAGCGCGTCTGTGTATTTGTTTGAATTCTTTGACATGTTAGTACATAAAGCGCGTGTGAATAAATTGCTGTTGACATGAAACTTCATTAAATGTAAGCTTGATCCTTCGCCAAGACTTGAAAAGAGTGCCTTTTTTAGGATAGATGAACATGTGTTAATTTGACATGTTTTAGGCGCATCGTTCGATTTGAACACTAAACAGGGCATAAGTTTGCATTTGAAAATTATTTTTACTTGATTTGTACATTAGGTACTCATATAAAGGATGAAAATGAACTTATTGCTTCAATATCAATAAATAGTCTCGGCTCTCGAAAAATGAAGCATTGAAGCTGCAGACCGTCAAGAGTGCGTCATGTTATGGTTATTTCGGGTGCCCTTGCTAGCGAGTAATGAAATGTTCGTTTTAAAATCCGTGGACTAATTAGAAGCGATGAAATCGTCTCTGTGGACATTTAGCCAATTGTTCTCCTCGCTTGTACAGAGGACAGCTAACAATAATGCGTAGAACTCAAATTCGAAACGGTGCTTGAAATCTGCTCCTTATTTTTTATTTGAAAATGTAGGGTGCTAGCGCGTTTGAAGCCTGGCATTGTGAGCATACAGGGGTGTTCAAATGAGCATCCACACACAGTTATTTTTGCGAGATATACGTAACTTGTATTTTAACTTTATTTTAGCTGTAGGATCTTGCAAACAAAGGTTAGACGAACAAAGTTAATATCTTCATATTTTTAAAAAGGATGATAAAATGGAAGTTCTTTCGTTATAGGAGGGATTGATGACTACTTCTTAATTTGACGGTAGCAAAACACGTCTCAGTGTCAGTATCTAGCATACGAAACACATCAAAATATCCAGCATCCGTACAAGTCTTACTCTCCAACATCCGTAAAAGTCTTAATTCTTTCTTTTTGCCGTTATGCCTCTAAAACAAATAGTATATTTCTCAATTAAAAAATCTTTGGGAAAATTATCAGTCAGTTATTTATGAAAATTATCGTTCACGAAATACAACTCAATGTCATATGATTTAATCATACGTGTTATTGTAGTGATTTAATCACCGTGTAACTGTAATGATTTATAACGTTTCAGATGTTAAATCAGGCAGAGTGGCGACTTCTAATCCCCGTCTCAGAGTAACTCGAGTTCGACTGCGCTTGTTCCAACCGTGAGTTTAAAAACGCCTTCATTGATGATTTGCTTGCCCGAGTCCATCTACCAAAACTCACTCATGTACAGTGTACATATAGTGGCCTAAGTACACGAAGTGGCTTAAGTGCCCGTTGCACTTTAACTATATATAATAGATGGCGGTCTAATCATATTTACCGGCTTAAGTACAAGTAGCGCCCTAAGTACACGTAGAGGCTTAAGTACACGTAGAGGCTTAAGTACACGTAGAGGCTTAAGTACACGTAGAGGCTTAAGTACACGTAGCGGCTTAAGTGCACGTAGAGGCTTAAGTACACGTAGTGGCTTAAGTACACGTAGCAGTCCAAGTATGAATAGCGGCCTAATTACATTTAGCAGTTAAAGTAAATGGAGCGGTTTCAAGTACACCTAGCAGCCGATTTATCGTCGTGATTGCTGAGATTATCTTAAAAAGCCGTCAGGGATTGGCTGAGGAATTTACGAACTCTTAACGGTTTTTGTTACTACGATCCCTGGTCGACTGCAATTAGATCAAACAAAAATCTAGATTTTCCCCCAAAGGTAATACGTGATCGTGAAATGAAAAAAAAATTTATTTTGTGTAATTTTAGGCAATTTGATTGCAGGACGGAGTGCAGTAAAATCTTGAATTGAGCCTAATTGAGTTCATTTTTGAAGCAGCAACCTGTCAAATTTATTTGTGAAAGTTGTTATGATGCTGAGCGAAAAACAGTAGTGCTTTATTTACAGAGTTTTAAACAAGAAGCTGATTTTGAACTAAAGTCCTTGTTTCAGTTTAAAAACTTGATAGGCCTACTCGCTGTTGCGCTTACAAACGGCCTTTTCCGAGGAACCATTAATTAGGATTATACACAATCAGCACAGAAAATATTACTCATATGTACATAATTATTGTATAAATCACGATCAAACATGAATTGTAGCAATATATAACTTGCTAAAGAATTGAGAGAAATCTCTGATAATTCAACACATACTGTATATGGGACATGGAATCGGGGCTGCTTGTACACTTGCAGGAGCAGTGAAGTAAACTATCGAAGTCGAACAAAATTAAGAGTCTGAAATTGACTTTTTTTTAATTTGATTTGAAGGCTTCGAGTGCTTATGCACTGCCCAGCCTGATCTCTGTCATTATTTGGGGATAAAAGGAAGATGCTTAGGCAAAAATATGGATGCAGCAAGCACCCAAGGTCAGGAGAGTTTTTACATGCTCCAGAGGTGTGAACCCTAAAATTGTCTGTCGGGAGCGCAGGAAAAGCCTTTGTAGAGAAATTAAAATATGAATTGACGAGACACTCACGAGCTCGTTGCAAGCTGGATGTCTTTATGTGACGAATACAGCCGACATGTTATTGTAAAGATCTTTATATTAATATTATAATTATATCAGGCATTGTTAATAAATATTAAAAATGAATACAGCATTGCGTGGTAGTATAATAACGAGTGTCTTAATGAAATTAATGTATTAATACTCTTGCTTTAGGCCAGATACCGATAAATTCTTAGTGATAGATGAATGTTTTTCAACCATTCAATAAATTCAATCGACTTTTTAAGGTCTTCAATGCTTGCACATCCCTTGCATCATGTCATCAAGTTTCCAACAAAATATCCACTAGAATTCTGTAAACAATACTACAATAAAATATACTCTATGTCACGAATGCTGCTAAATATCCAGGTCGTTTCTATATAATTTCTTGAGCAGGTGAGCGTTGCAATGGAGAAGTCGAGTGAGTGAACAGGCACAGCTTGGCACCTCAAACTGCTTATGATCATCTCCGCCCACCGTGAGTGTTGTGTGACCGAATAAAGGGTAGGCCTATAATGGCTGATGATGTGTAGGCCTATAACGTATAGGCTGATGCTGTGTCGGCCTATATGTTTAGACTAATAATGTATAGACTGATGATGTGTCGGCTAATAATATATAGGGTTATAAAGAGTAGTCTAATAATGTGTAAGCTTATAATGTATAGGCTAATAAAGTATAAGAAAATAATTTTTATACATATAATGTTTAGGCTTATTATGTTTCCATAGGGATTTTAGCACCCAAAAAAGTAGGTCAATCACAGGAGTTGTTAATTATTGCCTTGATTGATTAACAGGTCAATATTGAGTGTTGGGTTATTTTACTCTTAGTTATTACCTTTAAATATTTCTGCATAGTGGTTGTTGATTAGGGGCCGAGCTCTACTTGGGAGTTGTCATGACGAAGCAGCACGCAAGGAGTTAAATGGGAAATTCTTTTCATATTGTATTGTAGGTCGTTCTATTTGTTCATCTATTAGTAGTTTAGTATGGGAAACTTATATTATATATTTATAATAAGAATAACTTATATAAGTGCGCTGTTCAGGTGTAATAGCGGCAGGCAGGGGGAGGTGGCATGAGGGGGGACAGCGATGAAGACCGGGGCTCCCCCGAGGGTCTTGGGGCTGCCCACATCCCCCCCACCATCTACGTCATCAAGGTAGCTTTTAATCATATATAATATCACCACCTAACCAATACTCTTATCTCAAATAAATATTCTTAACTATTGCTTTCCTCCTGATAATTTTTTTAGCATATTTAGCAGTAATTACGTTTAGATATTTAAGATGATTTTTAAAAGATAATTAAATTCGCTAGTAAATAATGTAATCTAAAATATGCGTTATATCACATTTTTGTAAATTTCGTCCAACTTTGGTCTGTAAGCTTGCCAAGTCACTCAAAATGAAATGTTTGCTTAATTAATCTTCTTCAATGCAACTCACATTTTGATTGAATGAAGATGAATGAATGAATCTCCAATTAAACGAAATATATAATAATAATAAAAAAGAAACAAATAGAATGAATGATACCAAAATTCAAGAATTAGTACAAACAAGACATAAATGAATGAATGAATGAATGAATTTAACAAATGAAAGAAATACAAGTAAATATTCATCGCAGTTCCACAAGAACGCCAGGCGGGAGGCCGTCGAGTTTCTGCTGGAGAGGATAGAGAGCAAGCACAAGTATGGAGGAGCCGAACTCTTCATCAGATGTGAGCCGCAGAAGCCTGGCCAGGTCAGTTCATTGATTTGCGTCACAAAAAGAAATATTTGGCGATGTGTCATGCTTGATAGAATTCTTCGTCCTATGCAAACAAAGTTACGTACCTGGTAACATCTAGCACAGTGACGATGTAGTCTCGCCCTGCATGTAAATTAGCGGCTCTATGACGCTATAGAGAAGCGTGACGCTATAGAGAAGCGTGACGCTATAGAGAAGCGTGACGCTATAGAGAAGCGTGACGCTATAGAGAAGCGTGACGCTATAGAGAAGCTGCCTCCGTGACGCTATAGAGAAGCTGCCTCCGTGACGCTATAGAGAAGCTGCCTCCTTGACGCTATAGAGAAGCTGCCTCCGTAATAATTGACTATTGCTAGTTAACACTCCATAGATATTTCTTACTCGCATGCACGACTGAAGTTTCCTGAATTATAATCCAAAAGCATAAAAATTACTAGATTGCTTAAGTCGCAAGTTTACCAGGAATTTAAAAGCAAAAAAAAAAATCACATGCTTCAGAATGTAAAAAAATAATAATAATAGGTATAAATAAAAAATAAACAAATATCAATACAAATGATTAAAAGCAAAAAAAAAAAAAAACAGCCAGAATATTAACCATTTCTTAAGAATGAAGTCCAGCTCCATTTCTTAAGTCCAGCTCCATCGTCAGTTCAAAAGTTCAAAACCTATAAGAAAATCAGAATCAATTATAAAACTAAATTTTTTTTGCGTGCACCATGCTTTCGGCCTGGATTTCTGTTTGCCTGTTTTTAAACTGGACTTCTATAAATACTTTTTAGCCTTTGAAAGACTTGCTCTTAGTTTAAAAAATGTTTCTATTACCAATCGTCCTGAATTTTTTGGCAACTTGCAAAGCTTAGCTTACCGTCATTTCTACGGTTTCAAAGCTTATAAAATTTTCTCGTCTGTTTTCCAACCCCGTGACACCCATTTCTTAAAGGACTTGGCCAAAAATAAGGACCTAATCATTTGTAAGCCAGATAAGGGCAAGGGAGTCGTATTGGTTGACCGCAATCGTTACAACAGTAGCCTTTCTGCTCTCATTACAGACCCTTCTAAATTTATCGAAATTACAGATCCAATTGCTAAAACTATTTTAAAGATTGAGGATAAAATGAATAATTTTTTGAGAAAACTTAAAGATTCCGCTGCACTTTCTTCTGAAACTTATTTGAAACTTTATGCCTCTGGCTCTTGCCCAGGTATTTTGTATTGCTTGCCTAAGATTCATAAGCCAGATTTCGCTACAAAATTTCAGTTTCGACCCATTTTTGCTGCTTACAACACTCCGAGTTTTAAGCTTGCCAAATTTTTGGTCCCAGTGTTGAACTGTTTGACAACTAACCAATATACGGTAGACAATTCTTCTTACGTGTTCGTAGACCGCTTGAAGAGTTTTACCAATGTCCAGGATCTGACTATGGCTTCATTTAATGTCGAAAATTTGTTTACAAATATACCTCTCCATGAAACTATTGATATTTGCCTCAATTCATTGTTCAAAGAGATTAATGACATTGTCATGGGTTTGAACCGCAAATTTTTTAAATCTCTTCTTGAATTATCTGTTTTAAACTCGTGTTTTGTATTTGCCGGCAAATTTTACAGACAAATTGACGGCTTGGGCATAAGTCTACCACTAGGTCCTACTTTTGCTAATATTTTTATGTGTTTTCACGAGACTAAATGGCTGGCCAATTGTCCTCTTGATTTCAAACCTGTTTTTTATAACCGATATGTCGATGATACTTTTTTACTGTTCAATCATCCTTCTCATGTGGCCCTTTTCTTTGATTATCTAAACCTCCAACATCAGTCAATAAAATTCACCATGGAGCTTGAAACCAACAATAGTTTATCTTTTCTTGATTGTAATGTTACAAAATCTAATGGCCGTTTCCAGACCTCTGTGTTCAGAAAGTCAACGTTTACCGGTTTAAGCACCAGCTTTCTTAGTTTTTGCTCATTTCGTTTTAAATTAAATGGGATTAAAACATTATTAAATCGTGGCTTCCGTATTTGTTCAACTTTCAATGCTATGAACACTGAATTTGAGTTTTTGCGCAGCATTCTTTCTTTAAATGGGTTTCCATCGCAAGTGATTTATACTCAAATTAAGAAATTCATGTCAAGGCAATATAATGAAGTTGTACCCGATTGTGACAGTAGGAACCTGATTTATTGTTCTTTTCCCTACTTCGGTAAAGCATCTGAGACTATGGCTAGGGAATTGAAAGATTTGATCAATAAATATCTTTCGAATGTAAATCTGCTGGTGCTATTGGTGAATAACTTCAAAATCGGTTCGTTCTTCAAGTATAAAGATGCTCTCCTTCTTTTTATGCGTTCGTCCCTAGTATATAGATACAGTTGTGCGTAGTGCGCATCAGCGTACGTCGGTATGACGTCTCGCAATTTTTACACCAGGCTGGCGGAGCATAAGGGCAGAAGCTTTAGAACGGGAACAATACTTGCGCATCCTCCTCATTCAGCTGTGCGCGAGCAGTGCACATGCCCATGCCGAGCAGTGCAATGTTCCGGTGTCTGATAGTGATTTCAGAGTTCTAGCTTACACGACCGGTGTTACTGACCTACGGCTTTCAGAATCCCTGTACATTTTTAAACAGAAACCTGGTTTAAATGCAGCCTTCAGCTCCTATCCCCTTGAAATTCTAAATAGATAGGCCTGTCTCCTTATGTGTATTTGTTTTTATTTTGTCAATTTATGTTTTTTTCTTCGATGTGAATTTAGTTTTCTAATTGATTCTGATTTTCTTATAGGTTTTGAACTTTTGAACTGACGATGGAGCTGGACTCCGAAACGTTTTCATTCTTAAGAAATGGTTAATATTCTGGCGGTTTTCTTTGCTTTTAAATTCCTTATAATCCAAAATTATCATATAAAACAAATCATGTTCAGTATGCATTCAGTCGCCTAAAAATTTGATAGATTAAAATAAATTTGAGTCGTATCGTTTGTAACGACAAATCTTTTGTTGTTGACTATAATATTCCGTGACAGGGATTGGTTGTCCACGTCTCTGCTACTAAAATTAAGCTTCTTGAGATCGCGGAGGCAACTGAGCTTCAGAAGGCAACCGCAGACGGTCTTATTCAGGTTAGTGTATGAGTAAGGATTGTGGGTAAATTAAAAGGGTTAAGATGGTTTTAGAAGTTGCGAACGGCCATCTCTCTCCTAATTAATTAATTAATTAGTGTTTATATGTATTACTTAGGTTGGGGTAAAGAATATGAATTCGAGTTATGAATTTGAGTCACTAAATGTACATCGTTCTCTCAAATTTCACTTTTTCAAAAGTCATTTCACATGACGACAGTTACAAAATCTATAGTCGTCGAAAAATTAAAATTTTTATGTACAAAACCTGCACAGTTTTCCACCGGTTGGAAGTCTTATCTCGGCAGATTCTGTAGCTAGCAGATGACACATTTTTTTTCAAAAATTCCTTTTTACAGCAATGACAATAGATCTACGGAGCAATGGCATTTTTTAAATACTCACTGGGTATCTGAAGCTTTTTTCCGTGCCAAACGGATTTAATGGGATAATTGACCATGATTAGTAAAGAGACTAAAATTACTAACATTAAATGGTCTGTCCAGGAGCTTAGTGTCCGAGAACTGGACCAGTTCCTGCACGGAGGTCTAACACTGGACACAATCCTGACCCCCGCCGAGAAGGAGTTTTGCGTGCGCCATGAACTGGACGCCATCGTCGCCAGGGACGAGCGTAATGTGCCTGGCTATCCTGCCTTCAGCCTCTTCCCTGGACAGTCTATTGGTGAGGTCATACTTATTTATAATGCAATAACTAAGACTTCTTCAAACTTCAATAAATTATGTATTCCTAATTGTCTGAAAATTAAGGGTCTTTTCTCAGCTCCTGTAGCATTAAATGTGTATTGTGGAATCAGGTTAACAAGTCAACTCGTGGCGCAAAAATGTGTATTGTTAGGATGTATTTAAATAAATCATGATTTTCTTACTACTTTGATTTTGCAATTGCTACCACGAGTTTAAAAAGAAGAAATGTTAGATTCAATAACTTAAAGTTGAGGGAGCATGAAGTGTGTTATTTTTTGCTATAACGTGACGTGTAAGATTCAATATTTGAAAGCTGAAGGAGAATGCAGTGTTTTATTTATTGCAATTATATGAAATTTCGATATACACCGGCAATCAGGAGAAGGACCATGTCATCATTTGGAAGAATTCTTAGACGCAAACGTCTATAAAATATGTGACCTGAATTAAGTTCATGATCGTCATTGACGTGGGCATATAGCTGAAAAGATGTTTTTTTTAAACTTATCATTTTGTAAAGTGGTACAAATATTTGTGCATAATAGTAAGGTATTTGACCCAAAATAATTGTATGCGCAGTGGATTTTTATATATCGGAAGACATCATCGAGTCCATGTTCCCTCTACACGAGCGCCATCACCTGGAGCTCGTCTCCGCCTCCTGGTACAAGGCGGTCTTCTTTGCCAGTGCTGTGGGTGAGTGAGCGATGGCTACGAGGATTTAATGGGATAATTTATTAGGATTAGTTGCTAGGATGATTAACTAGAATTATTGATAGATACTTGGAGAATTTACCAGTTTATTTGTTGAGATAATTTACAAGGAAGACTCGGTAAGATGATTTATCAGAAGGATTTACTAGGACGATTTTATGGAAGGATTTACTAGGACGATTATATTGAAGGATTTAACGGGCTGCATTCTATTCCTTTGTATCACGATCAAAATGCTTTTCTAGTGACACTGCGCCAAATTTGTCGATGTTATCAAGTTGAGAATTATGATGTGCGTTTCGGCTCATGATGGCGGGAGAGATTCTTAACTTATATGCCAAAAATAGTCTATAATTGAATATTTAAATTAAGTCCGTTTCCATTGAAATATTATCAATTTCATAACATCAGCTATATTTGTATCAGTGATGGGAATATTAAAAACTCAAGCTGAAAAATATACATGCTTGAATATTTCTCTATTTATTTGTGCTGTGCTCTGTTGTCAAAATTACTGACGAAACTCAGGAGTTTGCCGTGTTTCTGAATCAGCGACAATTTCTGAAGTACTTTTGCTTGCATCTTTTTATCGATAAAATATGTTTCTATATTATTGAAGTGAGCATTGCTTCTCTCCAGACAGAATACGTGATTATTTCGGTGAGGGTATAGCTATGTACTTCAGCTTCCTGAGCTTCTACACGATGCTGCTGCTGGTGCCTGCTGTACTCGGACTCGCGCAGTTCGTGGTTGACAACGACAGCTTCTCGGAGTACACGTTCTACGCGGTGTTCAACCTCATCTGGGTTACAGTCTTCTTGGAGGTTAGACGGAACGATAATTTTTGTTTTATTTAGATGGTATTTAGATGGTATTTTTTATTTAGATGGTGTTATTTGATGGTGTGCAGTTGCTAATTTTAGTCTCTGAGTTTTTTATACCTGTGTCAAGGCAATATTATCTTTCTTTTTCTTCCGGATCTGCTTCATGAAACTTAATTTGACATTTTTTCGGCAATATATTCATTGTGTGAAATTTGATGGCATTGCAATATTATTTTTCTTACACATGTGCGTAGCAGCCAACAAACCTTATTTGCTATTTACTATCTAATATCTTCTTCATTGTGGAAAATTTGACGGCGTTGTAATATTATTTTTCTTACAGATGCATCATAGCCTTGAAGTTTTATTTGCAATTTCTCTAAGAATATTTTAAGTGTGTTAAATTTGATGTATTTTTTTCTATGCTAGGTGTGGAAGCGACACTGCTGCGGCCTAGCGTACAGATGGGGGACGCTGGAGAGAGAACTGGGGGACAAAGCTCGTCGGAACCACAGAGGGGACCTCAGACGTAACCCTGTCACTGACACGCTCGAGCCCTTCTACCCGCCATGGAAGACCAAGGCTAAGGTACGAGACCCTATACAGTAGGCTTAGTATAGTATAGTATCTTCGGCATTGAAGAATAGGCCTGGATAGACCTGTCGCCGATTCTTGTCGATTTTTCTTGACTAGACTGGCCTTTTTGATCAAATATTTTCAACGGATGGTAGGTTTGAAATCGTTTCAAGATTTCAGTTGTTCCGCAGGATACGAGGCATTTCAAGACTAAATATTTGCTCCTGCATGGCCTTGTCTAGTCTGTCTAGGCTCCATCAAATAGAAATAATATTACGTCATTAGTTATGGAAATTTGATAAATTTCGTGAGGATATGTAATGAATAAGGCGATTCTTTTCGTGGTCGGCATGTTTTTAACCAGCGTGACTGCAATCGCTAGCTTATGCGGGACGCGATTTATCAGAAACGGGATTTTGACAAACAAGTTCCTAAAACTGGCACACTTACAGCAGCTAATAGACCTGCTGCCAAGTTGACCACCACAAAAAAAATCCGAATGAGCCAACTTTTTAACATGACGTACTGATCGTTCAACCCAACGGGTTTTTAAACCTGACATGTTGATTTTATAACCTGACGTTTTGATGTTTTGACCTGAAGCATTTATGACCTGACGTGTTTTTTAACCTGACGTGGTAAGTAACCTGACGTGGGAAGTAACCTGACGTGGTAAATAACCTGACGTGGGAAGTAAACTGACGTGGTAAGTAAACTGACTTGATAATTAATCTGAATATTAATTAACCAACCGTTTCCATTGACCTGATGGCTTCATTAATAAAACCTTTTAATTAACCTCACGTAATTCTAATCAGCTTTTGATGACACAGCTGTACCTAGTGTCGCTGCCCAGCGTGGGGCTGTGCGTGTTGGCGGCTCTGTACCTTATGGTGCTGGCGTTCTGGGCCGAGGAACACGTCTTGGACTGGAAGAAGCACTACGGCTCCGTGGCCGCCATATTGCTTAATGTGCCATCAGCAATATATGCTGTTGTCGTCTGGTTCCTGAACTTTTATTATAAAAAACTGGCTGTCTTCCTCACGGAATGGGGTGAGTAGGTCTATTTATTGTCAGCAGCAACTGCTTCAAAAAGTTTTTGTTTTCAATTATTGAATTTATAAAATATAATAAGATGTTTGGTATTTGTGTCGGTGTAATGAAGAGATTGGTCTCTGAGGAAAATTTGTAGTGATAAAATTAGTGGCAGCTTACGATAGTCCCAGAAGAGAATTTGGAGGCGGCTGTAAATTATTACAGACGGCTATATCTACGAAAAATTGAGTTTATTTAAAGAAACCGATTGATTTTACTTCCAGAAAACCATCGGACGCAGCTGGAACATGACTGGCACCGGATGGCCAAGCTCGTCGTCTTCGAATTTGTTAACAATTTTTCGTCGCTTTTCTACATCGCCTTTTATATTCAGGACCTCGACATGCTTCGCTCCGTGAGAATCTCGTTCAAAAACTGGCAATCGATATTAAAAGATGTTTTCATCTACCATGGACATTTTTAATCGATATTCAATTGAGATATTATTCATATTTTGATGTAGTACAATGCTTTTCGCTCTCTTTCTTGAGCATTAGAGTTTTTCCAGACTCATAAATATTATTCGTCTTGATTGTTTTATTTTGTTGATTGCTCAAATATTTCATGTTGTTTATAGGATTTGAGTTCCCATTTCTGAATAAATAATGCAATTAACGCAATCAAAACTTGAGCGTCAGTAATTTTACTATCAGATGTGCTCTTAATCTTCCCGATAACTTTCTCACTTATCATAATGCAGCTTAAGCTTTGGTTTAGAAATAAAATAAACTCCTCCAAAGTTTAGTCTCAAGTTTGCCCGGTTTTGCCGTATTCCACAGCAAGTTGCGACGATGCTCATCGTCACGCAGATGATCAACCACTTCCAAGAGGCGCTGCTGCCCCTGGTCGTCAAGAAGGCGTACCTGAAGGTGAGATTTCCAGCCGGTGTGGAAAATGTGCTGGTAGGATATGCTTGAAAAATGAACATTTATGGTGAAATTTACTCCATTTAGGAGTAATTCTATCAGGATCGATCATGCTAGGCTCTGAGAGCAATTTAGATAGGGCTGAACTCTTCGTAATTTCTAAAGTTACAGGCGATTTCAACATGAACTAATTGAGAATTTTTTTATGTATCACAGATTAGGAATATTATTCAAAATCTGAGTTAAAATTTTAGGTTATAACGAATGCTTGTAAATAATCTTAATATGAGATTTGAAATATTTAAAACGTATGGATGTTACTGAGTGGTTTTCGAATCATAAATAGTGCGACGTAATCTATTTGATGTCACTGTAGCATTTCATGCCACTGAAGCGGAATTTCAAAAATTGTATTGCGAATTGCTCACTAAAATCTTAAAATCATTTGTCCATGTTTTATCATCAACGCTATATTTCGTTACTGGGTTCGCCCCATCCCACATGCCAATGTTGCAACATTTCGTGGCTGGGTTCGCCCCATCCCACATGCCAATGTTGCAATATTTCCTTGCTGGGTTCGCCCCATCCCACATGCCAGTGTTGTAACATTTTGTTGCTGGGATCGCCCCATCCCACATGCCAGTGTTGTAACATTTTGTTGCTGGGATCGCCCCATCCCACATGCCAGTGTTGTAACATTTTGTTGCTGGGTTCGCCCCATCCCACATGCCAGTGTTGCAACATTTCGTTGCTGGGTTTAGCCCATCCCGTATGCCAATGTTGTAACATTTCGTTTCTGGGTTCGCCTCATCCTGCATACAAATGTTGCAACATTTCGTTCCATCCAACATGCCAATGTTACAACATTTCGTTGCTGGGTTCGCCCCATGGCGCAGATATCTGCGAAGGTGGTGCAAGAAGTGCGGGCGCACAAGACCCTGGGGACATACTTCACGCCCCCCGCGAGGCCCGTCCACGAGGACGCCGTCGAGGAGCAGCCCATCCCCGTGCTATCCTTGGACGTCAAGGACCCCAGGATTACCCAAGCCCGGGAGGAGGGCGAGCTCGACGTATATGAGGTCAGTGCGTGTCCTCAAAATTTCATTTTTGCAGATAACTCGGAATTAATGGCTACGCATCTGATCTCCTTAAAATTTTTACTCAGTGAAATCGCATTTGCTGGACCTGGCTTTTTAAGATTTTGGAATCGAATTCCCTGTGTTGACTTTTGTTGTATGATCAAGTATCCAGGTATCCTGAACTGTATTTGATTTATATTCTTTTCCTTTTGTGTTTGTTGCAGGACACCTACGACGACTACCTGGAGCTGTTCCTGCAGTTCGGTTACGTGTTCCTGTTCTCATCCGTGTACCCGATGGCCGCGTTCTGGGCGCTGCTCAACAACGTGCTCGAGCTCAAGACGGACGCCTTCAAGCTGTGCCGGGTCTTCCGGCGACCTCGCGTCAAGAAAGTCCCAAACATTGGCGTGTGGCAGGTCAGAAACATTGGCGTGTGGCAGGTCAGAAACATTGGCGTGTGGCAGGTCAACATCTCTGGCTTATTTAATATTTGTCTAAGCATGCGTGACATTAGTCGGTAATGTACAGTGTATACGTATGATAGTTATAATTTAATATGATAGGAGTAATTTAAGCAAATTTTAAAGACTCTGATGAATGATATTCTTTCCGAAAAACATAGGAAGCGCGTTAAAAAATTGTCGGCACTTAAAAGCTGCATTGATCCCACGTTCGTGCATCTTTAAGATGCATTTCTTCCAAGAATAATTTGTGTTTTTAAAAAATAACTAAAAGTTATTCGCAGTCTTCTCGCTATCCGTTGTCTCTAAATCCCGTCTTGTATTGAATAATTGTGCATTGTGTTCTCAGATAATTGTACAGTGTGTTCTTATTTTGGTGCACCAGAGAACTACACACAGTCTGTGTTAATTAACTTAACTCGTTCATTTGTCTGGTGCAACCTAAAACCACACATGGTTTGTGTTCGCATAATTTTTCATTTTAGCGCATTTTCTCGTTTATGGAAAAAAGGCGCTATTGTGCTCGTCACGTCGTCTGTCTGTCTGTCCGTGACTTCACGTTTTCGTCGACGAGAAAATGTGCTTTCTGTCACTCACTGCAGTGAGTACTGAGTTATATATATTTTAACTCAGAATTGCTTCGAGCTGCTGGGCTACATCGCCGTGGGCACCAACTGCGCACTATTGTGTCTGTCACCCAAACTGCGTCAGTTGGTACCCACCGTGTCGGATGTGGAGTGGGTGTTGATATTCGTGATGAGTGAGCACCTCATCCTTGTGGCGAAGATGGCGTTAATGTGGCTTATGCCTGATCAGCCACTGTGGGTGAGGGAGGCTCTCGATAAAGTGGCATACCAGTCCAAGATGGCGCTCAGGAGCGAGGTTAGTGTCTTAGGTTTATAATTTGTGTGACGCGTTAGAGTTAGAGGCTGATCAGCATTTATGGATTAAAATGAATATAATAATTTTTTATTGTATTCACAAGAATTATATGCATTTTTTGATACTATATAGAATTACTATTTAGGTAATGATTGGCTTAGATCTATGTGTACGACTCAGGTTGTCGCTTAAAGCATGAATAGAGCAATGTAAAATGATTACATTGCAAATTGCATTAGCTTAGCATACTTTCATGGTCAAACACAAATTATAAATAAAATAAATATATAGTTCAATCATCGCTGTATTAAATCACCAAATAAAATCTACTTTGATAACAAATGCATGTACTCAGCGCGGCAAACGGACGCGGCGACATCTGTCCCGCCGGTTCCGCAGCGTCCACGGGGTCCCGCGGTCTGGGTCTCGGTCTCGCGGCACCACTCCGGTCGAGAGCAACGCTGTCAACGGCGCCATCAGACGACGCGGCAACAGCGAGAACTACTAGACTTGTTGACATCTGTAGTCGCCATATCAGGGTGGAGTTTTGGAGAAGATGGTTCGTTCATAAAAGTTCAATCAAGACATGGTAAATTGATCAGTTCTGAAATATCAGCTGAGTTACGAAAGAAAATACTTAATGCATTTCGATCCAATATGGTATGTGTATTTATTTATATATTTCATCACTAGAATTACACCTTGAAATTTATTTCCGCTGCCACTTTATTTGGTCGACTTTTGGGGTAGAAAATGGATGGATCATCGTCCTGAAAAAAAAAAAAACAGTTGGTCATCAGACAATTAATGATGACGAACTTCCTTACCCAAGCTACGAGCAGAGAGCGGACGTAGCACTCATATTTGTTCTTATCGGGTCATGAAGGGTCTGGATGACCCACATAAAGGCAAGAAGTGCATCGCCATCTGGACAAAGTCTCGCTCACTTTCTGAGTGCAAGCAACAACGAGGCTGTGAAATATTGCCTCATAAATAATCAATACGCATTAATTTAGGATAGGGTTTTAATTCACTCAAATATAGGGAGAGAGGTAACACTCTTTTGTGTCAATTGCGTAACAAATTAAATAATTTGCGACTCATCTTTAAACACACACAATTTTTCGCCCCTCCCAAAAAGGTATATTAATAGAGAAAAAACCGACACCCAGTCAAAAATTTATTTTCCAACGGTTATGTTCTGTATTATTCGTTCCGATTCCTATGTTCATATTAATGCCTCAAAAATGGAAACTGAAAATAGAGTTGCTAAAAGGCTTTCGTGTCATTGTATAATTTGTCGTGCATCCCTTAAGTGTTCAGAAACTGAAACAAAATTATTCATTAAATCGAGGAACGAAAATTAATTATCATTATTCTCATATGATCAGAGACGTGATCAATTTGTATGTCCGTCATTTGTCACGGTAAAAGCATGTAGTTATCTTTCAATAATGCTAGTAGTTAATTACAACTGTTAAAGTGGAAGCTCTTCGATTGGGTTTGAAAGTGCATTGCTCTTTAATTTGTTATTAATTCCAACGCTTTTCACTTGAGTCAAAAAATACTTGAGTATAGGAAAAACTGCACAATTATTAAGTAAAAGTTGTTCCCGCGATTTCCAGTGAGTAGCTCAGTGGTTACCAACCTGATTCATGGCACCCAAACCCGCTTCAATTAACCCCGTATATTGAAGTAATTGTAGAAAAGAAGCAGAGACACAATTAGTATTATAATTAAACCAAATTATTTGTGATAAACATATTAGCTGCATATAAAGATCAAGAGCCGTTTAATTTTATTTACCCAGTAATGATTGATATGTAAAAGTATTTGCTATGATCAAAATCAGTGCTTTTTCCATAATAGAAATGTTCTGTTCATGTCAGGTTGGGTACCACGAATAAGGGTAAATGCCGCAAAAGTTTGGCGACCACCGGTGTAGAGGGTAACATATTAAGGATTATTATTCATTATTTGTTATAAGAGGACTCATTTTGCTCTTGTGAATGACCACAACAAATTGTCAAGGCATATATAGGGTCGGCCGTTGCAGCTGTATATGTTATCTTTTTGTATATATTTCAGTACAGTTGGTATCAGATGATTTATCTCTATAATAGAAGAGTATTTGTGAGAACCCAAATTGAATCGTGCCGTCCTGAACGATTGTTCGGTCGTTAAAAAATTGTTAGGAGAACTTCATGTTATGAATGGATGTAATTAAAGATTATTGTGTGTGGCACTTGAAAATCCGTTTTATGGGATCCATATCATAATTAAATTCACTTCCCAACAATGTTCTTGGTTGTCATGATCATGAACGATTATGTAAGATAGTCGAGTACGATTAATGCTAACGAACTCTTTACGCAAAAAAAATTTGCATATAGATGAGACAATTGTTTAAAATACGCGCCATGTGAAAACAATGCTCTATGAACATTATTGTGTGCATATTTCCCTATGCCCTTGTGCAAGTTTGTTCCACGCAAAAATGCTGGTGTTCCTTACATGTAAATCACTCGGATTTGGACTTTACCGGCACGGAAGTAGTTGCTTTTTTGCTATTCAGGACCACTTTTTGGTCATCTGAAACCCTAACCGTTCATGTGAAACAAATATGTGATATAAACTTATCGCGTTTAGGTACAAAAAATTACAATCAGATGACATGTGCTCACTGGAGTACTGAACCTGTTCTTGTGTTCATAGCGAATTTTCGTGTTTTTTTCGACGTTCTACAACGGTTCTACCACCATTTGTTAAATCGATACAACTGTTTTTGTTTCACAAGAATAATACAACAGTTCTTTTTGTGCATAAACTTCGATTGAATCTTGCTTGCAGTGTCCGGTGCCAGTGTTAATCCTTGTTGCAGTGTCCGGCGTCAGTGTGAATCCTTGTTGCAGTGTCAGGCGTCAGTATGAATCCTTGTTTCAGTGTCCGGTGTCAGTGTGAATCCTTGCTTGCAGTGTCCGGTGCCAGTGTTAATCCTTGTTGCAGTGTCCGGCGTCAGTGTGAATCCTTGCTTGCAGTGTCCGGCGTCAGTGTGAATCCTTGCTTGCAGTGTCCGGCGTCAGTGTGAATCCTTGCTTGCAGTGTCCGGTGTCAGTGTGAATCCTTCCTTGCAGTGTCCGGCGTCAGTGTGAATCCTTGCTTGCAGTGTCAGGTGTCAGTGTGAATAGTAGAAGCCATGGCGCTGTCTCAGTCAGGTAAAATCTGTAGAGCAGTCGCATGTGATAGTCAACGATCGTTATTAAATCTTTCAGTAAACTTTGGAAAATAATTCGTCTTATTTACGGGATGACCAATACCTTTAACGTACAACTAATCGTTCTAGTCCAAAATATTCTACGGCGGATTAACATCAGTATTTATTTGTCGAAACGAACATTGATACAATTACTCAATTACTGATTAGGAGAATAAAATATGAGCTTGAACTTTAATTAACTGGAACTGTCATAAACTAGGGACTGGAAGTGTTATAAACTAGGAACTGTAAGTGTCATAAGATAGGAGCTGAAACTGTCATAAACTTGGGACTGGAACTGTCATAAACTTGGTACTCGAACTGTCATAAACTGGGAACTGTCATAAACTAGGGACTGGAACTGTCATAAACCAGAAATGGCAATCTGTCATGAATTTCACAGTAAAAATTCTAAAGGCTTCGGACTTGACACGAAAGTCTAATCGAACCTAACAGGCTCGGGATAGCCGGGTGGTTGAGTTAAACAAGATTGGAGAAGTGAGTTGGGGGTTCGAGACCCGCATCTAGTTGTGAAAATTGTTATTAATGTGGGCTAGGTAGCTCGGTGGTTAAGTATCGGCCACAGGCTAACATAACCTAACAAAGGCTCACAAATATAACCATCATATTAGTATTTTTATAGCATTTAAATTTTAACATACATTTATAGTTGACCGGTGAGTGCAGCCTGGCTCATATTTAGAGTTCAGTTAATAAGATACCCAGAGGGATCACTAAAATGTTAATGATGAACGACATTTACTAAAAAATTTAATAAATTATACAACAGGCAGAGGGCCGACTAACTAAGTTTACTAGCAAGTTAACGAAAAATTTAATAACCAAAATTTGTTTGTAAATGCTGCCAGCAACTCGCCCGAGAGAGTAAATTTTACAGGACTAATTTTTATATCAGTACATAATGCACACAAAAATATTTAGATTATTTCATATTAATTCCTGGAGGTTGCTAGTCATTAATAATTCCCTTCATAACATTACACTTAATGTTTATCCATGATTCGTATGAATTTAATTTGGACACTCTAGAGGCCAACGTCGCTGAGCATCAAAGATTTTAAGAACCCTTAATTCTGAGCACCCAGGACGCTAAAAACCCTTAATTCTGAGCACCCAGGGCGCTGAGAACCCTTAAATCTGAGAACCCTTAATGCTGAGCACCTAGGACTCTGAGAATCCTTAACTCTGAGAACCCTTTATTTTGAGCACCTAGGACTCTGAGAACCCTTAACTCTTGAGAGCCCTTAACTCTGAGAACCCTTAATTCTGAGCACCTAGGACTCTGAGATCCCTTAATTCTGAACACTCAGGTCTGTGAGTACCCAAGTCTACAGAGAATACACGTTATTATTGAAGCCATTTTTTATATTTTATCTAAATTTTTTTATTTGACGTACTTTGAATTCCATGGGAGAATCAATAATTGAGAATTAAAGTTCCATTTCTGAGTAAAACTAGTAATCGAGCAGCAATTGTCGCTGTGGTCTGACGTGAAGCAAATTCTTATTCGTCACGCGAACGATTGTTTCTTAAAAACTTATTTCCAATCATAAAAACTTCTCTTGTTTTATCACGTAGTAAAACCACGTTACATAAGATCGTCTTAAGGTGAATTAAACAAGAACTTCGTAAATCACACAGACATACAAATTAGAAAATAAATCTAATGCATCGCACCAAGCAACAAGCTCGAGCGATGAACAAGCTTACAAGTCGTGGGTGCTGGCAAGTCGGTCTGCGTTTCATCTTAATTAATGAAATTACGAGTTATTTGCTTTTATTTCTCCTCCGAATTGATCCATGTCTCGAAATCATGAATGCAAATGAATACGTGAATGACGGTATCTAGATATCTGTGGATACGTAAGGCAAGATACGCGAATTCTTCGACAAACAAGTTCAGATATCAATTATTTTTTTTCCGACACACGCAGCCATTTCTTATTTTTGAATAACTATTTTCAATATAAAATGAAATTTTACGTGAATGGATTACAAATAAATTAATAAAAGTGAACAAACAATTTATACGCTTAAATGTACCGATTCAGAAAGGGAAGAAAATGCCAGGCATACACGCAAATTATTAGAAGACCAGGTGATAAAATTATTATTTGGCGACAATGAAGTATAAGACAAGGAAATATATTTGCTTAATACAGGTTAATGAGCGATTGGATAATTGATACAAGAATATATCAGGAGATTATCTGAATGAATATTTTCGACAGTTGAGGTTATACTATAATATTATTGTGGGTGCATGCAAGCATAAAACAATAATGAAGCACGTTGATTGATTTTAGTGAAGGTTATTATAAGCAATTTAATTCTACTTCAAGCGTATGATTCTTTGAATCAGGATTCGGGTAAGATGATGGACCAAAGAAATTCAGTTCAAATCTTAACTTCGTCATGAACTGGAAAATTTCAAAGAGCTAAATTCATAATCCAAATAGAGTAATTGTTCTATATAAGAAGAACTGCAATAAATAATATAGCACAAACATTATTAGGAGGCATAGAAGAACGTTTCCTGACCTCAATACGTGCAGTTATTAAGTCGTTTTGCAATACTCGACTTATTATTGTTCCAACCGCAGACATCGAAAAACTTGACATTTATCAACAAAGAATATCGCCATCAAAAATATTTTGATTATATTGTTGTTACCGACTAAAATCAACAAAAATTGAGATCAAGTAGCGTTCGGAAGGTCGTTGAGAATTCTATTGAAATACCATGTGTAAAACTATTGCATTATCAGATAATTAACCTAAATTGAAATTCTTAAATGTAGATTCCGATATTGTAAATTTTCAATCGATTGATCAGTGTTTTTCAGACTAGTATAACACACTGCAGACAAAATTTTATTCGTCATTGAACGTACCATCGTGGTTCAACGTATAACGAACCACCTATGTAGAAATTTTTTGTGGGCAATAATCAAATTTGTTTCTAATCGCCAATAATTTTGATCATCTGTACTGACTCTTAATTACATGGATTTTCGTTGAATTCAGAGAAGTATCCAAGAAAAATGTCAAATTTTACAAAACTTGAAAAGAAAGAAAGAAATCACAATCGATTTATTCCTTCAATGCGTAATTTTTTTTGTTTAAATCATCTAATTCGAAGACTCGATCACGTGACGCGGTGGAGCGAGTGCGGTGATTTAATACTGAGGATATTCAGAGCCACGAGGAACACCAGCGCCGTGGACACCAGGGATATTGTCCCGGCAACTTGGGGAGCGACTGCCCCACTGGCGACCGAGCCTGGGGCATGTCGGGGGTTAGCGATGTTGTCGGGACAGCCCATCCAAAAGGGCGCGGACAGGAGAGGGCTCCTCGGTCGCACCTTCATCCGCAGGTCGTCGAACTCGTAGAAGACTTTACCTTTGAAGAAGTAGGTCGTACCTACGAGGGTGGCAGGGAGTGAGTATTGGTTGAAGATATAATTTATCGCTGCGAAAGGTTTCGGTTTTAAAACTAAAAAATATAGTGGGGGTATCATAGATTAAAATATGCTCGATACATTTTATTTTTGAATGTATATTTCACTTCATATATCAAATTTGAAGTTAAGTATATGAAAAGCACACACTAGCTCAACGCAAACAACAAATAAAGAGCACCACTGTGACGCTGCAACAAAAGCACCACTGTAACGCTGCAAAAGCAACGCTGGTACCAAGCTGGGCCCTCATAGTAACCAGGCTTAGTCCCCACAGGTACCACAAAAAGGCCCCACTGCGAGGCAGCAAGGGGCCCAATTGCGCCCCGCAAGGGACCCACCGTTGAGCTTGAAGGCGGCGTCGATACCGTCATAAGGAACGCCCTTCCACATGGACATGTCGCGAGGATAGTCCAGCTCCACGTGCTGGATGGACTCGTCGAACCTAACGAACAAATGTGGGGAACATGAGAAGAGTGCGAGGGTTCTTTTTGGCGCATTTTCTCCTCTATGGAAAAAGGCAATATTTTGCTCGTCATGTCCGTCCGTCCGTCTGTCCGTCCGTCCGTGACCTCAAGTTTTCGTCGACGAGAAAATGCGCTCTCTGTCACTCACTGCAGTGAGTACCGAGTTAAATTTTTTGTGGATAATCATTGGGGCCTTATAGATGACAACTTTCTGTCACCTAAATTGTGTTTTCTTATTAGCTGTTTAAAATATTTAAATTGTTATTAAAATAATATTAAAAGGCATTCTGAATGCCTTGTATTCTAGGCTGCATATTCCACAGACGGAACTTGCGGTTCCTACAAGACAAAACACAACACAATATACTTTAATATATGCAATAATTTAATACGCGGCATGTACTTAAAGTCCCGTTAACAAGCTAAACTCGTATGAATAACATTGGCAACACCACTTTCACCTACCTCCGTTCTCCACCTCACCCACCCACACCACTCAAAATTTATTTGCCTTATTTCGCTTTCCATCACCCACTCCCAACCCACCACCCATTTCCTGTAACCACCCACCTCCAGTCACTACCTATCTTCAGTCAACCCACCACCGACCTCGAGACCCTCCCACAGACCCTCACCCACCCAAGGCCCATATGGTACTCATCCCTGACCCAGCACGTGCCCCCCGGGCCCCACCTCCAGTACATGGTACTCATCCCTGACCCAGCACGTGCCCCCCGGGCCCCACCTCCAGTACATGGTGTTGGCCATGAAGTAGGTGCGGGTGTTGTGGCCCCACACGAAGGCGGCGTCGAGGCGGGCCAAGTCAGCGGGCAGCCCCAGGCGCCTCAGCGGCCCTGAGTCCACGAGCTCATCGTTGCCGCGGCACACGAAGTACTGCCGGCCTGGTGAGGGTAATGTGAGGGTAATGTGAGGGTAATACGAGGGTAATGCGAGGGTAATAAGATGGTAATAAGAAGGTAATGTGAGGGTATTACGAGGGTAATGTGAGGGTAATGTCAGGGTAATGTCAGGGTAATGTGAGGGTAATGTGAGGATAATAAGAGTGTAACGTGAGGGTAATACGAGGTAATGTGAGGGTAATAAGAGGGTAATGTGAGGGTAATGTGAGGGTAATATTAGGGTAATATGAGGGTAATAAGAGGGTAATAACAGGTAATGTGAGGGTAATGTGAGGGTAATGTGAGTGTAATGTGAGTGTAATGTGAGGGTGATGTGAGGGTAATAAGAGGGTAATATGAGGGTAATAAGAGGGTAATGTGAGGGTAAAGTGAGGGTCATTAGTGAGGGATATGTGATTGAGGGGCATGTAAGAGGGTAATAAGAGGGTAATGTGAGGGTAAAGTGAGGGTCATTAGTGAGGGATATGTGATTGAGGGGCATGTAAGGGAGGGCATGAATGAGGGAAATGTGAGTGAAGGGATGAGTTAAGGACAGTAGTGAAACACACGAGTGCGGTACATGTGTGAGGGGCGTGAGTGAGAGACATGTGAGTGAGGGTATTTGGACGGTCTTGTCTTCAGCCGCCTCCCCAGGAGCCCCACACCTCAACAACAAGCCCCACTTCCCCGTCCCCCTCACCGCTGAAGAAGACGATGGTGTCCTGATGGGGGCGCTCGTACACAGCGTCGACGTGCGTCACGTTGGGCGGCAGGCAGTACCAGAAGCGCGAGAGCTCCACGGGCTCCTGGCTCACAGTTCTCTGGTCGATACGCCAGAAGAACTGAGAGCGCAACAAAAAATTGGTTAGTATAAAAGGAAACTAAGTTATTAACTGTGCTTTCATAAGATAATGAGAAAACAGTTAATCATGGGTGGTGGTTAATTTGCTTTCATACGATGATGATATTTGTGAAAACAGTTAATCATGGGGGCGGGTAAAGTGTCATCAGAGTCTAGAGTTCTTGGGGCGTCAAGGTTTTCGCGGTTGAAGTGTTTGAAGAAATATCGATATTTCTTCTTATCGATATCGATAAGAAAAAATAGGATATATCGATATCGACAATAGAAATAGACATCTTTTATTCTTATTGGTGAATGTGGTCACCAAGATGGTTCTTGTCTCAAGGAAAAGATTTATTGAAAATTCTTTCAAAATGAGAAGCATGAAAGGGATCTAACTTTCATTGAGTAATTGAAATAAATTTCCTTCAAATGAAAAGCAAATTCGTGTTGATAAGTGTATCAGATGTATGTTCTTAACATTGGTTATCAGCTGTGATTCACCAAATACAAATGGTGTGAGTTCAGGGCATTGATATATGACGATCAACGTAAGTAATATCGTCCAACTTTAAGAAATATATAATTTTACTAAAATTAATTAATTTAGATAATTTATTTCTATATCTTGATAAACTTTGTAATGAAAAAGTAATTTTTTAATTAAAAGTTAATTTTTTTAAAATAAGTTAAAAACTTTATAATTAAAAAGTTTTTATTACAGACCTTGCCTCTGAAGATGTACACGCCGCGCCGTATGACGCTGATGGCGTCGTAGCTTGTGTCGCAGGGGTCTGGTTCTGACGAGAGGGGAGGGGCGGGAGAGGACGGGACTGAGGGGTCTAAGGTGGGGGACACCACCCCGGGGCTGAAGTCCCCTTCCTCTTGAGCCTTAGTTTCTGAGGAAGACTCGTAGTTCTCGTTCACGCCTGTGGGGGACAACATTGTTTGGTATAGACAAAGAATGGGGATTTTGAGGAGAGATGTCGTACGGTAAATCTTACCGAGTATTGGACGTTGAAATAACGTTTATTAAACGTTGTTTGTTATTTGCAGAGAACGGGGATTTTGATCAGGGATACTCACATTGTATTGCCAACAGGGCATTTTATATTGAAATATCGTTGATTAAACGTTGTTTCAAATGAATCAACTATTATAATCAACGCTGTTTCCTCGTCATTACCCGTATGAAAGTCTAAAAAAGGTAACAACAAGGAACGAACAGTTCTCAGGAATACAAAGTGTTGTAAAAAATATGCGAAATCGAGAAATGTTTTCGGATAATTAAAAATAATGCTACAGTGATGTAAAACTTGAATACAAAATGTAACGTAATGTTTTCGATGGCCAAAAGCCATCGAAATCGGGTATTAGATTTTAAATAAATTATTTTCATAAAGAAAAATCGAGGACCGTATTTTAAATTAGCTTTGGCTGTCTTTACTTTCACGCGATTTAAGCAGACTAATGATAGGATTAAATCAACTAATTACACAGGAACTGACCGTATAGATCCTGCATGCCGGCGACATCATCATGGGGCAGTTCGTAGGTGCCAGGTCCGTAGGTGAAGGCTAATGATAGGATTTAATGAAACTAATTATATAGGAACTGACCGTATAGGTCCTGTATGCCGGCGACATCATCATGGGGCAGTTCGTAGGTGCCAGGCCCGTAGGTGAAGAGGTAGGGGCTCATGATGCTGTTCTGGGCCTGGCTGTGGTAGAGGCCCAGGGCGTGCCCTATCTCGTGCCCCGCCGTCAGGAACAAACTCACCTCCTCGTACGATCCTAGCAACAGACATAATTAATAATGTTTTAATGTTATTTATTTGATAGACGTGTAGTGGTTAAAGAATGAGATGAATATACATGATGGATATTCCAAGACACGGTGAATTTAAATGATGACGCATACTAAGGTGCCTTAATTTTGCCAGACGCACGAACCTGTTAAACTATAGGACGATGTCGGTTATGGCTAATGGAATATATTGAGTTGACACGATGACGCGTGTTGGTAAATAAATAAGATTAATATATATGATGAACATTGTGTTGATAAGATGGGTCTACATGATGACTCTATGTTGGTAAATGAATAAGGTGAGTATGCATGATAGATGTTGTCTTGGTAAAATAAGTCTACACGGCTGCGTGATAATGGTAGTAAAGAAATAGGCTATGTCTACATTATGGTTACTGCGTTGGTAATTAAATTAGTTTACATGATGACCCATGCGTCAACAACTGAATAAAATAACTCCACGAGATCAACGTAGTGTTAGGAAACGAATAAGTTAATGCGCACAAGATGAGACTTAATAGTACTTTAAGTAAGACAAAGACTCATAAGGTATATACTTTTTTCAAGAAATTACATTTTTTCCGTGTCTTGACCCACCATTATGAGAGTCCAGATGTTGGACCCATTTTTCGTCGGCATCGAAGTGGATGTCTCCACCGATGCCGGGTCCAGGGTAGAAGGCGTGGGCCAGCGTGCGACCCGCCCCGTCAAACGGGTAGCCGTCGCCGTGATAACCTCTGCAAAGAAATTAATTATAATTTTATTGATGACTTCGGAATGACGTCATCAATATTAAAATGAATGTGAACGTTACTCATCGTCATGCTAACCTCAGTAACGAAACCGCATCATGTTTATTTACAATATTTCACTGAATTATGAAAGAGGCTGTTAATATGAAATGAATTCGAACGTTTCTGTTACAAAGAAGTCAGGATGATGATGTGCATGAACAAAGAAGAGAAAACCTCCTGTTTCAAATAACTTATTTTAACGAGAAATAAACCCTTTTAAATTTTGCTATGAAGAGCTGAGTAATGGAGGGAGGTAATCCAAACATCTCATGGTTATCTAGAACCACGATAAAGTTAAAGCATTCAGGTTCTTCCAATATACATTATTTTATGCTGAATTTCTTTTGTTTCGTTTAAAATTGCATTCGTTTGCATTCTTTAAAGTAAATTTTATTTTATTTTTTTCTCAGTCAAACCTTCAGATGATAAGTGATATTATATTGATTAATTACTAATTAGGTAATGACAAGCTTTTCTCGAGCAGCACGGCTGTGCAGTACAACAATGGTAACAATAAGAATATGAAATATAACGGACAATATTTTAAAGTAAACGAACCGGAAGACGTCGTTGATGCAGACACACGTCGAGCGACAAACAATGTGAGTTGCCAGCTTTATAATGAGCGTTATTTTAATACGATACACGTGGGTATGTCTCAGCACGTGCTTCACGTGGGTATGTCTCAGCACGTGCTTCACGTGGGTATGTCTCAGCACGTGCTTCACGTGGTTTATGTCTCAGCACGTGCTTCACGTGGGTATGTCTCAGCACGTGCTTCACGTGGGTATGTCTCAGCACGTGCTTCACGTGGGTATGTCTCAGCACAAGCTTTGCGTGGGTATGTCTCAGCACATGCTTCACAATCACGCTCGTGATCGCGTTCGAACACGCGCATGTTCTCGCAAAATGATTTAAAAATCGTTAACATTACAAAATTCAAAGAACCTTTATGCAAAAAAGGAGCATTCTAGGAAAAAACATTTAATTTACTGTAATTATATTTATCTATCAGCCTAATTTCCCAAGAATAAAAGTAGTATTCTGAAGAATTCTTTAAATTTTCGTAAGACACTTTTCTTGGTGTATGAACAAATATGTAAAAAAATTCTTTCGTAAGGCAGTATTTTGTCAGTTAATGAGAACTTATGAGAGGAATTAGAAAGCATTGCGTTTCGCGGGAAACAAGAGTAAAAAATTGAAAGGGAACGTGAATGGAGCGTTTAAAGCTTTCATAAACACTACTTAACCGAAAGTTATAATCAACCATCACACGTTATTCACCGCAATCGGTGCGAAGGGAAACACCTTCCTGCCATTTCAATACAGAATCTCTGGCATCAGCAGTGAAAATGTTTACATGAATACAAATGTTTGCTCTGCGTCATTCCTGACGTACGTCACAAGTAGGACACGGGTTTTATACTCTAGAGCCTAGACCATGCCTCAGTGGAAAATAAATTTGCATTGAAATACCAGCATGATCGCAATGATCGCTGTCAAAATCAAGACTGTTGGTTGTAAAATTCTTGTCGCGGTTCATTCGAAGGTAGTTGTTGCACGTTATTGGTTTAAATCGAATTCTAGACTATTCAAGACTTATGTTTGTTCTAACATTGTTATCTCTATTTTGTAAGATCTCAGCCCTCTTTGGTTGAATGCATGCACATGTTGAATTGTGTGGTAATGTCGGCAGTAGGGGTCTGTTCAGCGCGTTAGTTCTGCAAGGTTTACGAACCTATTGATGCCAGTCGTACGAACCTGTTAATGCCGACGTACGAACCGGTTGATACGTACGAACCATACCCCGACGTACGAAACTGTTGTTGCCCAACGTAAGAAACTGATGTTGCCCGACGTACGAAACTGTTGTTGCCCGACGTACAAACCTGTTGAACTGTGTCAAGATGTCGGCAGTAGAGGTCTGTTCGGAGAGGCGCTTTAGTTTTGCCAGACGTACGAACCTATTGATGCCCGACGTACGAACGTTTTGATTCCTGACGTACGAAACTGTTGAAGCCCGACGTACAAACCTGTTGAGCTGCATCACGATGTCGGCAGTGGAGGTCTGTTCGGCGCGTTAGTTCTGCCAGACGTATGAACCGGTTGATGCCCGACGTACGAACCTTTTGATTCCTGACGTACGAAGCTGTTGATGCTCGTCATACAAACCTGTTGAACTGCATCACGATGTCGGCAGTGGAGCTGTTCGGCGCGTTAGTTCTGCCAGACGTACGAACCGGTTGATGTCCAACATACGAACAAGTTGATGCCCGACGTACAAACCTGTTGAACTGCATCACGATGTCGGCAGTGGAGGTCTGTTCTGTGACGTGCGTGAAGCGCAGACGGGAGGGTCTCGCCCATAGCTCGGTGGCGAGCTGCAGCTCCCTCTCCACAGCACGACCGTCCAGCCGTTCTGGGTAGCTGACAATGCTGCCGGGTAGGGATGGAGTTACGGTGAGCACCCAGAAAAAGGAATAACTCATATTGTCCAAATAGCAACGCACTTTCTGCACGTAGCACTGATACGCCCTTCTGCTGGGTCAAACTGCGCCAGGATGATCCACACTTGGACGAAAAGTGCATCCGTATTTTGAATAAGTTAGACTAATTTCTCGGAGGGTGACGAAGTACGTAGCGCGTGCCGAATAAACTTTCATTGTTTAAAAGCGCACTTATTTTCATTAAACTAATAAGCAACATGCCTAGTGGAATACAAGAAAATGAGAGCAAAGATCATTCAGAATATTCGATGATAGTAATTACTCCAATAGTTAAATTACAAAGGATAAAATTAACGTATTTGATCGAAATATTACCAGAACAATTAATTTGAATAAAAAATTGCCGTCAAGAACATTGTTGCTGGGTATGCACAAAAATTTTCCATCAAAACAATCTCGATTAATTTATTTAGTTGAGAGAAATATTGAGTTTAAAAACAAAATGTTGAACAATCTCTGAATAACTAGCTTGTTACAGGAATTCGTCAACAGGATGAATGGAAATAAATCATAATAGGTTTTGGTGAAATCGTAAATTCATCGAAAAATATATTGAAGATAAATATTTAATTCCACCTTAAGGAACTCAATATCTGAAAGCACATGAACGTTCCCGTATATTTCATGATCAGCGCGCAAGTGAAATCGAAAAAGCACAAAAAATATAATTTGCGACGATGTATCACTGATATTTCGTTGAAAATTGGGGAAATATATGTAGATGAGGAGAAGGCCGGTTGTGAGAAGAGTGTGTGAGGAGGTATAGCTCAAAAGAAGGCAGGTTATGAGGAGAGTGTGTGAGGAGGTATAGCTGAAGAGGTAGGTTATTAGGAGAGTATGTGAGGAGGTATAGCTGAGGAGGCAGGTTATGAGGAGTGTGTGTGAGGAGGTATAGCTGAGGAGGCAGGTTATGAGGAGAGTGTGTGAGGAGGTATAGATGAGGAGGCAGGTTATGAGGAGAGTGTGTGAGGAGGTATAGCTGAGGAGGCAGGTTATGAGAAGAGTGTGTGAGGAGGTATAGCTGAGGAGGCAGGTTATGAGGAGAGTGTGTGAGGAGGTATAGCTGAGAAGGCAGCTCAATATAGCCCCGTATGTTTACTGATAACCAGACTGCCTCTCTCTAAACACTGGCCCTCTCATGCTACCCCACGCATACACACCAGACCACGCGTCTGCTTCTTGCAGACCAAATCATACCACAGCTACCTGCAAACCAGGCAAATACGTCATACCACAGCTACCTGCAGACCAGGCAAATACGTCATACCACAGCTACCTGCAGACCAGGCAAACACGTCATACCACAGCTACCTGCAGACCAGGCAAACACGTCATACCACAGCTACCATCAGACTAGGTAAATACGTCATACCACAGCTACCTGCAGACCAGGCAATTACGTCATACCACAGCTACCTGCAGACCAAGCTTATATATCATACAATAATTGCCCGAATATCGCTGTTGATTTCAGTTCAAAATATCTGGTGAATTCAAGAGATTACAGTTAATCGAGATTCGATATTGGTTCTCATGCCACACAGTATCGATTTATACAGTAACTGTATTTATTACTTCCAACAATAACTGCAATTATTTCTACAGACTACTTACAACAGCAGCACAACATTGCCTCCTACAGACATGGTGATGGTTTTGTAATGTTTCAGAGCAGTGATAAGACGAAACTCTGAGCTGAAAAAGAGGCACGCCTTAGTTTAGCTCATGAATACAAGCTGTTCCAGGAAGTTCTATTCAGATGAATTTAGTTTTTTAATTCACTTAAAATTTGTTCACTTACATGATCAACCTATTGGACAGTAGGAGAACCATTTGTTAAAAAAATTCGGCTTACGGTAGGAAGCGTCAACATTGAAAAATAAAGAACAATGTGATCGTACCATTAGAGAAGTAACCAGAGTTTAGACAAAGTATAAATGAAGAAATATTTCAGACATGATTAGAAGATTAAAAGAAGGACTATCTGGACAGTTGTTGTGACAAACATCTAGATGCTGTCGTACCGTTTGGTAATTACGCACATATTTGTAATCAACAGTTGAACAACTTGCTGCCTCGGTTATTGCACGCTTCTGGTGGTGATTTAATGATGAGAAGAGTATCATTCTCAAGCTTTGGATCATCATCAACAACTGCAGCAGGCAGCGAAGCTGAAACTTTAATTTTTATAAGTCCTGTCGTTACTTATATTTAAAAATTTTGGGCACCGGTGATAATTATTAATAATAATTGTTCATAATATTAATAGTTCTGTCCACTGGTGTTAATAATAGACTGCAACTATCAGGACTAAAAATATTTTTCAGCTAATTTCAAGCATACTTGCGAGGTAATATTAATCTTGCATCACAAAAATAAATCAGGCCTCAGAAAATCTCGAATCGCAGCTCTTTTGTTTTTTCGGCGGCCATGTAAGATTAAAATAAGACAGGCCCTGTTTTTCTGTAAGAAGTTTTGTGAGGTAGGAAGGGGTAACGAGCCTTTGAAATCTAAACGATTCCACTGGCATTGATGAGACATATAAAAGGCTATAGCTGCTAGTGTTGCTTCACAAATGAAGCCGAAGCTGGTAGCTATCTACTATGTAAACTAGGAAAAGCTGGTAGTGGTGTTTATTGAACCACGCGATAGCTGGCAGCGATACTTTGTAAACTAGTCATCGTGTGGCGCCAGCCATCGGAAACTAGACTACAGCCGGCACCGGAGTAGTATAGGCTAGGCTAGGCTATAACTAGGCTATATAACATAGCGATGCTTTACAGACAGACTACAGTGCACGGTAAAGAGCAAGCATGAGTCTAAACCTAAGTAGTATATGCAAGGCTATCAAATATGTAATATATAAATAAATATTCATATCCTAATATGTAATTTGGAAAACATAAAACATAGCGATGCTCTACAGAGCACACTCAGCACGGTGCAGAGCGTGGCTGGCACACTTGGATTGAGGCTGAGCAGTAAAGCTGGGCTCCGATAGCAGCTCAGTCTGGGCTGCGTCAACAGTCTGGTCCCCACAGACCACAGCGCCAACACTCATGCCCCTCACATGCCTTGGTGAGCGTGTCACGTGATCGTGGCATGCAAATCATACGCAAAAAGTGAATACAATAATGAAAAATTATCTATGAATACTAAGGCAAGTATAGCACTAGCTATAAAAAGTGTAGTTAAATGTTTCATTAGCGTCGAAGAAAATGAAATATTTACATGTTTTCAATTGAAATATTTGCACGTATTGTACGAACACTTTATCACATTTGTTCAGATGTAAGCGCTTAAAAGTGAAGAGCAACGGGAGTGTGAATGCTAATGTAATTTTATATGCTTGGACAAGGGAGGCTGGTTAATAGCCATCAACTGGCATGAGGGAACATGAGGGCTGTGAGGGTTGTGAGGGACATGCCTCTTGTGGACGTCAAAAAGATGGGTGAAGGGGGCCGGGTGGGTCGAGGAAGGGGCATGCAGAAGGGGCTATCTTCAATGAGAGGGAAGTGAAAGGCGATTAAAATGAGAGGAATGTGAGAAGTGAGAGTTGTGGAAAAAGTGAGAGGTGAGGGTTTCAGGTTAAGTAATAATGGTGAGAATGTGAGGGAAGTAATATTATTGAGGGTTATGAGGGAAGTGCACCGACATGAGAGCGAGGACAGAAGTGGGACGAATGCCAAGTGAGATGTAGGAATGAAAAGAGGGATGAGTGGGAAGTGAAGCAAGGTTGCGAGAAGATATTAGGGACAGGGTTGTGAGAAGGTATTAGGAACAGGGTTGTGAGAAGGTATTAGGAACAGGGTTATGAGAAGGTATTAGGAACAGGGTTATGAGAGAGAAAAGGTAGTAGAGTTGAAGAAGAGTAACAAGGCAAGGAATGTGAGGGGATGTAGGGGGCGAGAGGGCAAGAGGACGGGGCTGCTAACAAGGGAAGCACACAAAATGCCGTCCAATTGGTCAGTTCCTCTCCGGCGCAACTAAACTCTGGGCCATTGCTTGATCTTCGGGCTTATCGCCACATGAAACATATACAACATGAAGTAAAGCCACATGAAAGATATACAGCATGAAGTATAGCCACATGAAATATATACAACATGAAGGAAAGCCACATGAAATATGTACAGCATGAAGTATAGCCACATGAAATATATACAGCATGAGGTAAAGATATACATATGGAAGAGGTAGAGCTCTTTGCATGAGAAAAAGCAAGCATTTGAATATAAGAAAAGTTTTATAATTACTCCAAATAAATGTCACTGATCTCAGCAGACACGGCAGGTAAAAATGCTAATTTGTTTTACAAATGACTAGCTATAAACTACATAGAGACTTGTCTAAAAGAAAGATTTTTGCACGAATGAATCACCGATAGAGTTTCTTGCCCGTCTTTTGGTTGTAAATTAACTTGAACTGTCCCACAAAGCAACAGAATCAAACTTTGAAGTCTTTTTGCGGCTACATGAGGACTTGACAAACCCATCCAGAGATAACAAAATTGAAAACAAAATAGATAACAAATAGCAAAACGTGGAAGCTTTTAAAGGAGTTTTGGAAAGAAAGAAAGGAATGAAGGAGTCATGCCTGGGCAAGCAAGCCATGACATTAAATTACATCTCCACTAAGACGTCGCTGCTGCAACTGCGTGCAAGCAATGCGTCAAACCTTGCTTCTGTAAACATACTCTATTACTGTGTGTATTACAGACATGTGCGTGTACAATATTAATGCGTAGTACAGACATGTGCGTGTACAATATTACTGCGTATTACAGACATGTGCGTGTACAATATTAATGCGTAGTACAGACATGTGCGTGAAGACTATTACTGCGTATTATAGACATGTAATACGCAGTCTATTAGTGTGTATTTCACACATTTGTTTGTACAAAGTAAAACATCCGAACGTATACAA